GGTGTAAGTGACCGGCTGGACGCAGTGTCAGTGACCCGGCAAGACGTGGGGGTCAGTGACCCGGCAGGGCGCGGGCACGCATCGACACAGCGGCCGGTCCGCCGCACAGAGATGGCCGGCCGTGCAGTAAACGGCCCCGCAAACCACGACACTGGTTTGGTACAGCTGCGTTCTCGCGATCCGACCACGAGATCAGGTACTGCGCGCAATGCACTGTCAGCGCCACAATAAGGGCGCATCGCAGTGCACGAGGGCTTTTTCTGCTCAGCACGCTTTGATAACCTTCACGCGCTTAGTATGTTCTCAACACATTAGCCGCACATTCTCACGTCCTTCGCACGTGCCCACGTTCTCAGAACGTCCTCACGTCCTTAGCACGTTCTTGCGTTAATGTTTAGCACGTCCTTGGCATTCCCACATTCTCTGCGCGTTCTCAAATTCACGACTAACACGTCCTCAGAGCCAGAAGCCATCCACGCAAACCAAGCAGAACTTAGCTCGCAAGACCGCACAGAGCGGAGCCTGTCCAGTGACGCAGGCTTCAGAGCCACTGCGGGAAGCGGGACAGCTCTCCTTTCAGGGAGAGGCTTACGAGCGCCGACAGAGCGGCGCACAATGAGTCTCATTAAAACGTGATGTATGGCCGACTCCAAAACGACCATCTACCGCCCGGCGCTCCCGCCAGCTGATGAAAATGCGTGGCGGCAGGACTGAGATGGGACGGCGAGTTATGTCGAGGTGATTACTGGCAGGCGGACGCGACGGCAGCGGGAATCTTTCACGGGTAACAAAGGGAACACTAGTCTCACGGACAAACAGCAGGACATTGGTAGTGAACGTGATCATCAATAAAAGGTAGACAACCACGCATATGCCATCACTATGTGTCAGAACGTGTCATCACTATATCTGCGCGGACAGCCGAGCCAGGCTAGCCACAAAGCCAGACAAGATTCAAGGCCACGTCCTCAAACGCGCCTCCAGCCAGTTTAACACAGATGTGCCAGACGTGGACCCGCGCAGAAGCAGCACCAGCGCAGCGCCGGTCCTCCCCGGCGCCGCGGGGCTCGAGCAGCGCTTACTTGCTGGGTTCGCGGGGCGTGATGTCGAACGGAGGACCTGGCGGACCCGCCAACTTCGGGAAGATGTCCACCAGCATCTCCAGCTGGAACACGGCGCGAGTCAGCACCGACTCGTCAAGCGGACGCCGGTGCGGCCGCTGCCGCGCTGAGATAAGCCATCGGGCGGCATGGCCAAGCGGGGTACCGACTCCACCGCAGGGTCCAGTGACGACCAAAGGCAACGGGTGTAATACGGCCAACAGCACTTACACGGCTTGGACAGTATGCAACGGCTTCATTTGCACCTTTGTCGTGATCGTATCATGTTACGACTTCAACGCTCTCTCCACAGCGCCGGCACCTGACGAAATAGAGCACCAGTCGCTGAATACTGCATGTTCTATCGCAGCCAATAGGGGGCGTCGACCGAAATCTCCGGCGAGTTTCAGTCAAAATCCGTATCTCTCCAGTCCCAGTTTCGAATCTCCCCTGTCCCGGCCAGTACCTCCCTAGCCCCCCTCGTCCTGGCTCGCACCTCCCCTCCCACCGGCTAAGCCCCTCTCCCCTCCCCGGCCCCCACCCGCGTCTGCCCACCTTCCCCTGCTCGAGGTCGGGCATGGCCGGGTTGAACAGGCGGCGCGTCTCCACGTGCTCGGGCACCAGCTCGAACGTGTGCAGCACCAGCAGCGCCAGCCTCTCGTCGTCCGGGCCCAGCGTCGGCGGCCGCTCCGCCGACCGGTCTGCCGCGCCGCCGCACACGTCAAGAACATTGGAAAAACACGGCACACATCAAGAACATTAGAAGGTCAGAAGAACATTAGAAGGTCAAGAACATTAAAAGGTCAGCACACATCAAGAACGTCACAATAAATGCAGGTATGAATGAATGAAAATGAAATGATATTGATAGAGAAACAAAAGTGAAATGATAGTGATAATGATGTGATAGTGAACGAAAATAATCAGTAATAACCATAATACTCGTAACTAAAACTGATGTGAACATTAATAGATGTAGCAGTGGGCGCGCAGGCGGCCTGATACGGGCCGAGGACAAGGTCAGGAAGGCTTGGAGCGCCGGCCGTAGGAGAAGGCCAGCTCCGGGCAACGGCCAAACCCCGTGTGACGACCCACACTTAACGTTTCGGTCTCTGGATGCGCAAATCCTGACCTTGGTCCGTTCTCACTGACCAACCAAATCTCCACGCGCCTCACGATAGCGACAACCCCAACAAGCCCAACGATCAACCCCAACAAGCCCAACAACCCCAACGATCCCGCCCCGACAGCTAGTTTCCACACCCCAAAACCATGAAAATATTGTTCCTCGACTGACCTTCCAGCTGACCTTATTGACCTTTTACTGACCTTCCAGCTCGCTGAGCCGGTAGTGTTTGTTGCCGATGACCACCTCCGTCTTGGAGAGCCACAGCGGCTGCGAGCGGTTGTTGGTCTCGCAGACGTTTTCCAGAATCTCGCGCGGCGTCTGGGCGTCGCGCCACTGGTTCGGGCCCGACCTGCGGGGTCAGGTCAGGTCACGTGGGGTCGAGGTCATCACCGCTACGGGGCTTGCCTTGACAGGGGAAGACGGGCACATGGGTGGAAAATACGGGCACGGGTACTTACTCCCAGGTGCAGCCCACAGATCATATTTGATAGCTAGATTATCTCACAGGATTAGTAACAACTGCGTTGTTTCAAGTGCCAGTGAAACAATGCCTCTGTATTTTAACTGGGAACAAGTTCTCTGCTCGAGTTATATCACTGACGACATCATGTTGATCCGAGAATGCGCACACACTAAATAACAACATCGACATGGATGCGACCTCAGCAGAATTCACAAGAAGACATCACACAGAGAAGACAGCGCACTTGCCAAGAACACCCAAACGGGGAATCACAACGGCCGAAATGAAGTCCTCCAGCCATCAGCCCAGGTCGCGCGAGCCGGACCTTTGTCTGTACACCGGGTACCTCCGTACTCACAGGTGGTACTCGCGCGGTATGCCGCACGTGGCGCGGTACTTGGTCATGTAGCGGTTCTCCAGGTCGACCTTGGTCTCGCCGATCAGGTCGTCCTTCGAGACCAGGTCGTAGTCCATGACGGACACGGTGAGGTCCTTCTCCTTGGGCAGCATGCAGGTGAACTCCATGAAGCTGAAGGGGCGGGCGGCAGGCGCGGGTCAGGTCCCGACGGGGCGGCGAGGGTGTTAGCCAACGGTGTCAGCCAACGGTGTCAGCCAACGGTGTCAGCCAACGGTGCCAGCCGGCAAGGAATGACGTCAGACAACACAGGAGCGGCCAACCACGGTCAACGGTGTCGCACAAGGCAGCCCGTAGCCAACCAAAGTCAATGGTGTCAACTGGCACAGGATGATGTCAGGCAACACAGCCCACAGCCAAAAAGTGTCAACAGTGTCAGCCAGTACAGGACGCAGTCCAATGACACAGCCTACATCAAACGAATGCCAATGGTGTCAACCCACACGGTCAGTGTCAACCCAGTCAACAGTCAACCAAGGCCAATAGTGTCAGTCAACACAGGACGGTGTCAGACAATACCGGGCAGTGTCAGACAACACGGGGCGACGTCCGCCCACAGATCTCGCGTATTCACCCCCGGGGGCCTCGTCCGCGAGCTCCGATGACAACAGTGGGCAAGCTGGGCCGACACCGACAGGTAACAGCGTTCGTAGCACGCAAATCAGTAAGCACCAATCCGATCGGCGGACGAGGGCGACGAGCTGCGCGGTGACCATGACGCCGGCCCGAAATAAAATCGCATCGCGTTTATGAGACCCGGTGACTCTCGCACCTGCCGAAGATGGGGTTGAGCGTGTTGGGCCGGTACTGGTCCCTGGTGTCCTGCTTCTGCTTTCCCAGCTGCACGCGCAGGTACGGGTCCGACATTCCGTTGGAATCCTGCGGCGACAGGTCCCAGCATCTGCCGCCAGGGGCGCCACCGTCGGATGAGATGAGACACGCGGACGCACGCACGCGCGCCGCGCAATGCGATCAGCGCGCGGCAAACCGCGACGCCTCAACAAGCACATGACACGAAGCTGACGCCAACACGGGTCAGCGCGAGGGTCAACCGCCAAAAACCAGCCAAAGAAAGGAAACTACAAAAAGGGGCAGAGGGAAACACGAGAAAATATATTCACCCGAGAAGCTTACATGCATCCCATCGAACGCGCCAACACAAACACAGCGGGTGGCGAGGTTCGAACCCACAACCTTTCTGCTGCGGGCCTGAGGCTCTACGGCACCTGATGAAGTATACGCGGACGATGACCTCCTCAGATGCTGACGGCGGGATGCCACGAATCTGTCGGGGAGGCAGCGGCAGGCTCGGATCGTCCGGCAGCGTGTACACCTGCCGAGTCAAAGGTCAGGTCAGAGGTCACGTCAAAGGGCAGTGTTCTTCTGCGGGAATGGTCAGAGGTAAGTTCAGAGCGAAGCGTAGACCTGCGGATAGGGCAGGGGTCGGTGCACATGTCAGAGGTCAGTGTATAGGTCAGAGGTCAGCATACATCTGTGTATAGGTCAGGTCAGTACACACTTGCAGAGGTCTGAGATAAGCGCACAGGTCAGGGCTCAAGGCACACCTGCGGAAAGGGCAAATGTCAGTGCACAGGTACAAGGTCAGCGTATAGATCAGATAACAGTGTACAGGTCAGGGGTCAGAGGTCAGTGCAGACCTGCCAACAGGTCAAGGGGTCACAACTGCACAAGTGGGAAGAGGTCAGGGGCCACAACACAATCATGATAGTCATATCACAACGCAAACACACAATGCATCAGCAGTACAGTTGCCCCCGTCGACCCCCCCCCCCCCCGCGTAGCCCCACTGACCCTCCCGCGTGACCCCACTGACGCTTCCGCGTGACCCCACTGACCCTCCCGCATGACCCCACTGGCGCTTCCGCGCGACCCCACTGGCGCTTCCGCGCGACCCCACTGACCCGCATGGTGCCCTTGAACTCGCCGACGGTGGCCGACTCCTCGTCTTCACACGACTTGCCACGGTGGATGTCCAGCGTGTTCAGGATGTCCTTGAAGTGGTCGAAGCACGCCACTCGCTCCAGCTCCACCGGGTAGATCTCCAGCTTCTCGTACCTGCCGCAGAAGACGGTGAACACCTAGCGGGCTCCAGCGGGCAGATGTTCAACTTCTCAACTCGTAGAGAAGACGGCATCGGAATACGGAGACTGCACCGCGTACACCTCGCTGTGGCATGATTTTGCAGGAGCAGTCGCACAAACCGACGGTGCTGGGCAGCTCCTCTGCGCTGAAGAACTCCACATTTCACCTAAATGTCCGCGTGCATGCGGGATCACAGGCTGAAGGTCCCAGATCGAACCGCCATCGTCACTTCCACAGCGTCACGTCAGCCATCCTCACGGGAGAGTTGACGGGGCTTTCCGTCGCCACGCGCCGCACACCACCGGAGCGTAGCCTCCGCGCGGACCAAGAGCGTAGCCTCCCCCCGGCCCACCGACTGGGGTGTCGGGCTGGAGAGAAGCTACCGGTGGGTCGGCTCACCCTCGCTTGAGGTAGTCGCCGCACTTCCTGAGCTCGCCGGCCGACGCGTAGTACTTGCTCCACCAGTCCAGGTTCTTGTCGCGGTCCTCCGCCTTGACACCCGCCCGCCGGTTAGAGGCCGCGTGACACACGCACGCAAACAGCTTAGGAACTTCGAAAATATTGTGAACCTTCTATGGTTTGGGCGTTATTCACGGTGTGAATAAGAAAACGAGACCTAAATTTAAAAAATTAATTGGAGGAAGTCGGAGTTCAAAATAAAGAAAAGTGAATATCTCACAGTCCTGTGGCCACGTGCAAAAAGGCACTTTTGCTAAGTTTTGTTACAATGCGTCTGCTGCTTTCCAGCACACTTCAGCGATTTCCTAGTGTCGGAAGTGATGTTTGTAACTGAGAAACATCAAGGCGTTAGAACACTGTTCGGCAGGGGCGCGGCCAGGCGGCGTCTTCGGCTCGCCACTGGAGCCCGGCCGCACATAGGCCGGGCGTCCCCTGCCGCCGTCGCCTGGACGCGCCCCCTGCCGCACCCACCTTCTCTCGCCACTCGTCGCCGGGGCGTCGCCGCGTCTCGGAGGTGACCTCTGACCTGCCCTCTGACCCCGGGTCAGAGGCGTGCTCCGGCCGCGGCAGTCGCCCATCGGACTACGTCAGCAGCGGCGGCGGGCGTGCGGTTAGTGCAAGCGGCAACTGCCGGCTCGACCCCAGCGCCTCCGCGCGGCCGGCGGCGGAAACAGCGCCGCTGTTCAGAAACTGACCCGCGGTGACTGACAAGCTGACTGGCCACGGCGAGAGGCTAATTTTCAGACATTTGACATACTGGGTTTTTTCCTTTTTGATCGCGACTTATTCACGCGCCGGGAAACGTGGTGCTTTGTTATGGTAGACCACAGTGAATCGTAGGATTTTAATCACAAATAAATAGAATAAATGACAGCGTCAAATTTGTCACCCTAGAGCAGACCGGCGGCAACATTGGTGTCGCTCATAAAGGCTCCAGGCAGACCCGCTCAGCGACCCGCGAAAGCTAACCTGCTGACAACGTTCGTCAGTTTCTGAACAGCACCGATGTGACCACCGCGACCTGATACGGGCGCCGGCGGCGGGGGCCGAGCGGGGGGGGGGGGGGGGCGAGCAGAGGGAGAGGGGGCAGTCATGGCGCGTGCAGCGCGGGGCAGCTGGCACAGCGGCCTCGTGCAGGATGTTCAAGCTCGGCCGCATACAGCTGATGTTAGTGGTTAGAAAGCGGCGCTACGGTGCGTAAAACGCACGCACGATGCTCCGTGTCAATGTAGGCACAACTCCTGCTGTAACCCAGCGCAATGGAGCCCGGTATGTGTTGCCCGTGCAGCTAGGCTGTATCTGCGCACGAGCCGCTGCGGCCCGAGGGACGGCCCTGCCCTGGGGAAGGGACGGTCCCTGCCCCGCAAGGGTGGGACCGTCCCTGCTGCCCTGCGCGGCACGTCTGAGGCCTGCACGTCTGAGCTCTGCTGATCTGAGAACTGCTGGTCTGAGAGCTACTGGTCTGAGCATGTACGACGGTAACAGACGTTATGACATCCTGCATCTCAACATTCCCAGCACGCGTGTTCTCAAGCCTGGCCATACACATCCTGGACATCGCACATCTCCCGTCATGCAGCCGAAGAGCGGAAGAAAACACACCGAAGCTCCCTTTGCGGCGCGCGGCACCGCTGAAAGTCCAGCCGTGTGCGCAACGAGACGGCAACCGGAAACGGCGCCTGTGGCAGCCCAAGTGAGGGCGCTGTCCACACCGATCCATGCAGACCAGTCACAAGGTCCACGTGTAAGCCTGCGCCAGTGCTGTATCCCAGCGGCAGCGTTCAAAAACTCCCTACAACTGTCACAGCTGACACAGTAAGCAGCAGTGGCCATTGTTTCCGATCGGAGCCGTGACGTCACCGCCTGCAGGTGAGTCGTGTGACGTCACCGTCCGCAGGTGACGTCATAGTTCGGTCTGATACCCCGGCGACGACGATCAGCACATCAACCAAGCTTCGCCTGTCTCGCACGCCAGCGGTCGGCAGTGTCCCAGCGCGGGCCACCGGGTCGCCGACACCCGACGTTCTCCCGGCAACAGCACAGCCAGCGCTCTCACCACAGCGCCGCCGCGTTCAGAACGCGCGCCACATCTTCGCAGAACGACACCTCAACGGCGACACTCCAGCGTCTACGCGCTCAGCACGCTCCGAACAGCCAGACACGGGACTGGACGATCGCAAGGCGCACCGGATCGTGCCCAGCTGGCGCTTGCACCGCGGCGTGCAAGCGCCAGCTGGGCACGACCCGTTTCCACCATCACCTTCGTTGCACGCGGCCCGACTGTGCAGCGGCTCTCGGCGGTAAGGCTAGTCCCCGCCGGTGACGAGGCGGGACAGGAGACGCGCCCCCGGAATCAACAGCTCGTGCTCGGGGAGCTTACGGTCCCCGACGGACCAGGGAGCCCTGCACTGGCGGAACACAAGGCGGCCACACCGCAGTCTCAGCATCGCCAACGGAGCAATTGTCCGGTATCCCAGCTGCATTACAGGTATCCTTGACAAAGCAGGCACATGCCCCCTGCCGCGACCATGTCCCCTATCCAGTGCAGCGCATCCCTGGCTTACACGAACACAGCATCGAAAAGCATTCTGTAAGCGGCATGTTAAGTCCCGGTAGCAATCACAGCGCTCCAAATCTAAACCGCTGTCCGCGCTTGTGACGACAGAAGACGTTTCCACGTTGCGAAGCGGAGACATACACACCCTGTAATCGGACGCGTGGAAGAACGAAGCACGTACAGACGAGCCAACGTTGACAACAGCGGCCGACCGCCGTCAGACGTAAGCGCATGACTGATGCATGTCACGTGACGGGCGCGTGTCGCAGCGTAAGCGGTACAAACAGAGCACGGCGAGCGACGGACGATAGCCGAGCAGCGATGCGTGAGTTGTGTCCCGAAGGTGGCGGGTTCGAGGCTCACCACCGGTCGTGTTTTTCGGTTCGGTTGTTTACTGCATTCGGCGCGAGAGACCGCAAACTCTCGCGACTAAAGGTAATATATGCTGCTTACGTCTTGCGACAGACAAAAGGTGACTGAATGCCAAGTGCAGAGACCAGAAGTTTAAAAGACCAGCCCGAAATCTATATTTTGTAGCTAAAAAGCATAACCATAAACAATGGGACATATGTGTATATCTAAGCATACATTAGGTTTCAAAAAAGCATAAGTTTACTTATATGATCACCTACATGCTTTGGCAATCAATTACCTTAACCTTAACATAACAGCGGAGTACACGGACCACGCGGCCTTTTTCCCCACTGAGTTCCAGCACAGAAAGAGTTCCAACCACAGACACATGTCTCTAAAGAGGCTGATCTGTCTCTCGGCTGTCTGCTGGGCTCCACCACAGGGAAGACGTGCGAATCATGTGGTACAGCGATCAGACAACGGTACACCGTTGCCCGATGCGGCGGTATGTAGTGTCCCAAAGCGTGTCGACGTTCGAGAGCTGGCATACGAACAAAGGCAAGCGACTTGCCAGCCGCGTGAGCAGCACGACAAAAAGGCGCGGCCCCATAGACAACTGTTGCTTCACCACAGTGTGTGTCCCTCGCGACATCCAGACATCACGCGCAGCAGACGCCAGAAACGGCCAGCGGTAGTAGCCACACATAAAACAGAGACAGATGCACTCCCAGAACTATGCGCCGGTTACGAGTGTCCCGCGGCAGTAGCCGTACATAACACAGCTGACCGAGCTGACATATGAGCATGTGTTGTCTACATTCCGTGTCCCCGCCAGTAGCTGCACATAACACGGGTCGAGCCCGGCGCGGCGCTCGCGCTCGACCGTCACCTCATCCGGGTCGACCGGGTCGTCGTCGACCAGCGCCTCCGTGCTGCTGAAGACGCCCGGCCCGTCCATGCCGCCACGGAAGGCGTGCGACAGCAGACGGTACGTGCGCCAGCCCTACGCCAACTCGGCTCGTGAGTGACAGGGCGCGGGTTCAAGACCCGGTGGGGGTTGAGTTCGGCGGCGCAGTCTGCCGTCTGGTCTAGAGCCACAGTGATGTTGCGGACGAAGTCGAACACTCGCCGCACAGCGTTAAGACACTTCACAACCGCAGAACAGGCAGAAGAACTCCTGGTCACATACCACTTCAGTAGCCACTTGCATGGAGGCAGCATGCCTCCATGAGGCATGCCTCCATGCCTCCAACATGCCGCACACGCATGGAGGCATGCAACTCAAACACATCCAGCAACAACAGGACATTTTTCAACGAAATAACACGTTACTAGAGTCTGGCGCCGCGTCCACCACAGCGCCAAGTCCAGCGCAACGTCAGAGACAGTCTGCTCGCGCAACACAACGGGCACGGCACCAGACAGCACAGGCACAGGGGCATCACAAACATATCTCGGTCAACGCACGCCTCGGGCACATGGCTCTCGGCGAAAATTCAATTCAAGTCAGTTCACGACGCACGCAATTCGTCATGGACAAACCCTCTGCCAGAATATCGCTCGAAAAAGGTGCGGCCTTCATTGGAGCTTCTGGAGGACGTTTCCAAGCCCGCCTGGCGCGATGCGCATCCCAGCTGAGGGCGCCGACGTCCGAACCAGGCTCCCATCCGCCGACTGCCGCCGAAATACGAATGAGCGAAAAAAAAGAAATACGAAAAAAAAACATCGAATTGGAACCAAAACCAAGCCAGCCCCAGCCCTCGTGTTAGCCAAGACACGCGCGTGTCTTGTGGAGGGAGCATTCACGCCACCATGCCTTGGCTTGGTAGCTACGATCGCCACCACCTGTCTCTCTACTGCGACGCCGCTATTCACAAAGCGTGGCGAAAGCTCCGTGCCTGTCGGCCACGGCCGAAGCCTCAGTTTCGACGCTCACCGACAGATGTCGGTAATGGATGCAGTCCGCGTCACCGAGCCACCCTCACCCTCGTTTGGAGTCATGCAGGTCTCCGCAATGCCACCAGAACCAAAGCATCGTCAGAACCACCTCAACAAGGAGAGCGACAGGCAGGAGTCCGAAACAGGAGTCTGGAACAGGAGTCCGGGGAGACACCTGCCGGAGAGTAGCGGAACCAGCGGCTCCGGGGCATTACCTCCGGGTCGTGCTGCTCCAGCGCGTGCACGAACTCGGTGCGCTCCTGCACGGCCAGGCTGGGCTCGCGCACGGCGGCCTTCTTCAGCACCTGCGCGTGCTCGAAGCCCTCCCTGCCGCTAAAGTTGCCATGGATCGAGACGGCCGTCATGGGCGCCTCCTCGGCGGCGCCAAGCGTCATCGCGCGCGCCATCGGTGACCGGCGCGGCGGCGCCGCCGGCGCGCCGGCCACCGCGATCTGCGACTCCAGGTCCGACAGCTGCTGGTACTCGAAGTTGTTGGAGCGGCCGAAGCGGCCTCGCCGGCCGGCGCTAGCCGGCGCCGCCAGCGCCGGCGCCGCGTCCACGGCAACCAGCTGGGGTACAATCGACCGTCAGGGTGCGCGGCGGAACACGGGCTATCGCGACGCGAACGGGGCCATGTTCGGCCGCCTATCCAGGCATGTAGCGGGAAAAGAACCGTGAGCGTAGGGACACAACTATGAACACCGGAAAATATCGGTATGATCCTGCCCATAGCCAAGCCACGAGTGCTGCGTCGAGGTGTGTGGGGCGGCGGAGAGGAAAAGGGTCGATAATGGTCACAGTCGGCCACAGCCACAGTCGGCCCGCCACAGTCAGCCACAGCCGGGCCACAGTCGGCCCGTTACGGGGTGGGACTCTGTGGCCACCCGTTACGAACCATGCAGGCTCGGCATCACAACTTAGATGACGCTGAACCGCCGGCCGAAGCGGCCCCACCATCGGCAGCAGCTGTGGCCAGTTCCAGACCCGCCAGACTCGTCCTGATCTGCACTGAGAGCGCCCTCGCCACACTTACCTCGCGGCGGGCCACGATATCTGCACGGGCTCTTTCAAAAGGAGACGGAGGAGAGCGGCCGACAAGGATCACAACACTCGACACACTGACCAGTCTGGAGAGACAAGGATCGCAGCAACGAACGCTCCCTCCAGTCAGGAAACAGGCTCGCAGCAATGAGCACTCTCCAGCAGGGAGAGTGCAGGCCGGGCGTTACTGGGCAGTTACGGGCAGGAGAAGACGCACAGAAGTGTGACCTGCGGCTTCAGCACGCCGAGCGGCGATCGAAGCCGCCCCGGTGCCGGACGCGCGCTCAAGAACAGTACGAACACTGACGCGACTGTGTGAGAGCGAGCTTCCGCCCAGACCACCTGCATGCCACGCCTACTGTGACGCGGTCTCAACCGGCACATTCAGGTTCATACCTACCCAGTATGCCACGGTACCACGGTCCGTCAGCAGGGCGTATACAGCAAAACGGCGCACATCTGAGGCGGAGCTCACGCGGGCCAGAACACAGCGCTGGCTGGCAGCACGCTAGCGACAGCAAGCAGCGAGCACGCAGTGCCAGCGCGCTAGCCTGGGCGGCTGGAGAGTGACCGCACGCACACGCACACACGCGGGTATCACACAAGCACTAACACAGGCGGTGAACAGCAGGCATTTCCCGCCTGCAAACTAACACGGACGGGAGAGAAACGACGGGAAACAGCGGAATTAGTCACAGCAGACGGCGGCGGTTGATTCACCGGGCGTCTTTAGGCCGAGTCGAACGTTGGGAGGCGGGCGTCGGGAGGCGGTCTTTGGGAGGCGGACGTCGGGAGGCGGTCACCGGAAGGCGGTCTTCGGGAGGGGGTCTTCATGAGGCGGTCACCGGGAGGCGGGCGTTGGGAGGCGGTCACCGGGAGGCGGGCGTTGGGAGGCGGGCGTCGGGAGGCGGTCGTCAGGCGGGCAGCGGGCCACACATCCTGCACGGACACAGTACCTGCTCGTCGCCGCCGCCGCCGGCCGGGCTGCCCTCCGGGATGGCTGGATCTATGTCGATGACGGTCGACTGCCTCGTCATCGTCGACTGCCGGTGCACAGTCGACTGGCGGCGGACTGGCTTCGACCTGCGGCCACCGGCGACCGGGTCACATCGGCCGCCGGCGACCGGGTCACATCAGCCGACAGCAGCCGGGTCACATCGACCAGGTCACATCGGCTGCAGGCGACCGGGTCACATCGGCCACCGGCGACCGGGTCACATCAGCCGCCGGCGACCGGGTCACATCAGCCGCGGGCGACCGGGTCACACCGACCGCCAGCGACCAGGTCACATCGGCCGCCAGCGACCAGGTCACATCGGACGCGGGCGACCGGGTCACATCGGACGCGGGCGACCGGGTCACATCGACCGGGTCACACCGGCCGCCAGCGACCAGGTCACATCGGCCGCCAGCGACCAGGTCACATCGGACGCGGGCGACCGGGTCACATCGACCGGGTCACATCGGCCGCCGTCGACCGGGTCACATCGACCAGGTTACATCGGCCGCCGGCGACCGGGTCACATCGGCCGCCGGCAACCGGGTCACATCTGCCGCCGGCCGCCACAGCGCTCCTGCCTTTCAAAATACGTCCAGTAGGGTGTGCAGGATGCGAATATACATTAATGCTGCCAGAATCCTGGCTCTCCAGAGGCCTACGGACGCAATTTGCTACCTTTTGACCCCGAAACCTGACATCTGACCTGCGTCCGCCAAGCCCGAGGCACTTAGATGCTCGGTTGGCCGCCGGCCGGATCGGTGCTGATTGGTCGATTGTGAGCCAGGAGAGGGACGACAGACAGGGAACCCCAAACCGGGGGTAAAATGGCACAAAAATCCGAAATTCCTGCGACCCAAGTGGCAGAACATTGACATACTGCACACCACGTACCGGCGATTGCGGCTAACCCGGCGCTCGCGTCCGGAGCGGCATAACCGACGCACGGAGCCCCCCGGGCGTCCCCGGTACTCATACGGCAAATCCATGGCTATGTCTCACGCTAGGATTCACATTTCAAGTCGATGTCCATGCCCCGCGCCAGTCCCCATGCTCCCCAACAGAACTCGCCAGTCCGCAAAACAGCTGACAGCTTACGACAGCACTTACGCTGCACGCCGGCCTTGGCACTCCACATCGACACTTACATTCCAGACCAGCACCCACACTTGGTAATCGCCACATTCTATACCAGCACCCACACTTGGTAATCGCCACATTCCATACCAGCACCCACACTTGGTAATCGCCCTCATCCCACACCTCACGCCGCGCGCCAACGGCCTACGGCCTTCTCCCATCCCCCCACACTCCGCGCCGGCCGCTCGCGGCGTTCCTCGGGATAGGGTGGAGGGAGGCGGCCACTCACTTGACGTTCATCAGCGGCTCGATGCTGTACTCGTGCAGGGAGCGGATCACGTGCGTGCCCACCACGGGCCGCGAGCCGAAGCTGCGGTGGTCCCGCACCTTGATGTTCAGCGGCGGCATGTACAGCGGCTCCTTCGGCAGCATCTACGGCAGCGGCAGCCGCATCAGCGGCACGAGCAGACGACTTCACAGGTTTGAGACAAACCTCGTTCGGTCGGGCGCGCTTTCCGTTATCACAAATCAGAGCATCGCTCAGCGTACCTACCGAAAAAATACTCGTACAAGCACGACGAAATACCTCGTCATAAATACCTACGCAATAAGCACGTAAGCATTTACAATACCACGTATACAGATACCACGTAAAAGCACGTAGGTATAATTATGACATACATTCGGTCCCGGACATCCCGTCACCAGTTCAGTTTTCGCGGTCCATCCATCGTCGCACCCGCGAGCCTCCACCACAAGCGCGGCCGACCGACTGCGTGCGAAAATCTGATCTCCCCCCCCCCCCCTTTGGGCGGCAGCCCCCACTCACGATCTCCATGAAGAGGAACGGGTCGGCGAAGTTGGGATGCTGCTTGACGTCGCCCATGACCTCTGACGTCACCACCTTGCCGGCGCACTCGAACTCGATGGCTGGGTTGCGCACGGAGCGCAGCTCGAACGACCTCATGTTGCGCACGCCCCAGCACAGGATCTGCGGGCGGCACAGCGTCGGCTGGTGAGAAGTCCCCGGCGGGTCGGGCAGCGCAGAAGGGTCAGTTTGCCGCGGCGGCACAGGGGCCGATGGACCACCCCGACCGTGTCGCCGGAGGACGCGAGTCGTCCTGCGCCGCACATGCCGAAGCAAGGTCTGGTGGCAACAGTCAGAAGCCAGCGCAGTTGGAAAAACATCTTAAAAGCCTGCTGCTATCACCACATGACCTGGAAAACGTGAGAAAGGTACGGGGAAGTGATTACCACCAGGACGTTCTCCACTGGCTGGTGCAGCAGTCGAGAGGCGGGGGGAGCGCTTGTTACTATGTTAAGGTGTCCACCAGGGACGCTCTCCACCGGTTACTAGAGCGGTAGAATGAGAGGCAGGGGAGGGGCTGTTCATATGCGGAATAATTTACACCCCTTGCTTCTCAACGCAGGTTTCCATGATGAAAAACGAACGCAACGCTACTATCGCACAAGCTCTGGGCTTCTCACAGTCAGAAAGCACATCTGAGAACGAGAAATTCACGTGCAATACCCTCCCAGACTGTATCTCCCAACGACAAAGGACAGCTGGTGTCGGGCAATCCTAATTCACGCGATCACGCTATATACAGCAGACCACATGACGCATTCGGATGCATTAAAATATAGGAGAGTACATGTAAACAGGCAAAGGGCACAAAACAGATAGAGACATAGAGTAAGACCGAGGCATGAAGAGGCATAGATGCCAAGGATCATTTACACTGTTTCCCTCATAACGGCGCCACTACAACCGAAAACTCCGCGACCAAAACATCTAGGCCTGCCTTCCTCTCCCCTCCGCCCACAAACCATAAACCACAAACCACAAACCACAAACCACAAACCATTAACCCTCCCCTTCCCCAGCGCGGCCCTATGTGACTTGGGTCGGGACGGGGCAGAGCGAAAGAAAGCCAGCGAGCGGCAAGCGACCAGGCGGACGGAAAGGCGGACGGGCGCGGCCCTCCTCCCACCTCCACGGCGGTACGCTGCAGCACGGGCCGTATGCCGCTAGGCACGTAGTACAGCGTGCCACCCTTCTTCGTCGGCGGCAGGAACGGCAGCTCCGACACCTTGCAGTAGAGCTCGAACGAGGCCAGCAGCTCGCCTGTGGTACCGGCGGCCGGGTCACGCGCGGGTCATCGGGTCACGCGCAGGTCAGGTCGGGTCACGAGGGCGGCTGACGTGAGGACGAGACACACCCGCTGTGGGGCGGGGCTCTTCTGGACCTGGGGCGGCCACAGGGGCACACGGCAGCCTGACACGAGAACAGGAGTATGGGGGTGATCTACGTCACAGAGGCGGCCTTACCAACTCGCCTACAGCAACGATAGGCGACGACATGCCATCTGGGTTTAAAATCAATGACATGCGGGGGGGGGGGGAGACTACGTGGCCACCTGGGGCAGGGGCAGCTTTCAACCACCACGCCTGCGTCGCGGATAAGGGCTTAATCGGAAGCCTAGGGCACTATGGCAGGTACACTGTCATACGACCTCAACCGCCCGAGGTGCGGGTGTGTATATGTGTGCATATATACACTTAGGAATTGACATAACTATCATCATGTTACTACCAAAATTATGCATCATATTATCTAATATAATCAGTACTGCTTGTGTATCTGTACGTTATTCATTAATACGGTCCTCTTGAGAAAAAAACTGCCGCTAAACATAATAGACGCGCGACTCCGTAGCCCAGAAATCAAACACAGATAGTGCGCAGTTGAGAAGCCTGCGGACGGCACGTGACAATAACGCATCAGAGCATAGCGCTTTCCATCCGCGGAAACCCATGGACAACTTACTGGACTGAGAGACAGAGGAGACCCACACCGCCGGGGAGATTGCGGCGAAAGGAATGACAATGAACCACCGCCGTGGACGATGCTACGTAGGACATTATAACTACGCGTTAAATCAAACTATAATATGATATAAATGTTATGTATTACTTTATATATATATATATATATATATATATATATACATTAAGATTAATTACGTAGGATATTACTTAAGAAAGCATACCACATCTTACAGGGGATCAACAGTGATATCACAAGGCGCTCGTGACAAGCTCGTTGGCAACGATTCACGGGCAGATAGCAGCCAACGATAATTCCGCGTGTTAGGGAATCACAAGACAGATTACGGAGACTCTTTGGCCCACGCATTCAATTAATGACACACGGCAAGCGCGCGGTTTGGGGTCACACACACTTCGCTGAGCACGAATCTCTACGCTCGTTTATTTCAAACAGTAGGCGTCTTGTTGGAGAATGATTGACAGAACTGAACTGGAGGCGACGGTTACAAACGTGCTGCACGCCATCGTTTCGCATGTGTCGCCACCAAGACCAGATAACACGTCATCTTTGAAGCGCATCATTTCGGCGTTACTTTCCACCGAAATTGTGGGTACGGAACGCCCCAAACCGATCCAAGGCACCGACGACTCAAGCCGCAACGATGATAGAAAACAACGAAGGCTAGTCGAGGTAAGTTTCACACGAAAACAGGGAAGCAGGTCCGCAGCCGGCCATGCGAAGTTATGAAGAAAACACGCCACATCCACTCATCTCGACGTAACGAAGCCGACAGAACAAAAGCAACGTCAAAACAAAAGCACAAACCAAAACGACGTCAGACGCCACGAACGGCACCGACCAGAAGCTGCCGCGCCGTCCGGCCGGCCTGTCCGTGACGTCAGCCTGACGTCACACTGACCGTGGTAGGGCCTGTCGGAGAGCTCGCCCCGCTCCGAGGGCTTCAGGTACGCCCGCTCTCGTCCCCAGCCAGAGGCTACGCGCACACGATGGCCGGTCACATGCGGGCCGCCCGTTCCCAGCCAGTGCAGCGGCCAGGCGGCCCAGCCAGCGGCGTCGGAGCAGCACCCAGACAACGGAGCTGCTCCAGCTGCTCGCTACGAGCCCGTCCCCCGTGCCGACGGGGCGACACCGGCAGAGCCCGCATCGAGGACGGCTTCTGTTGCGTGCTTTGGAACAGCTCACCAACGCTCCCCACAGATAACTACGTTTGGAATGAGATTATTCTTGAGTTGAAGCGAAGTCAAGAGATGAGATTATCTTTATGAGATTCTGGACTTTATTCGTCATCTGGCGATTTCAACCGTTCAGCAGCGTATGCGGCGAGTGGGAGATGAATTTACTTCCTCGGCTTACATTGTGCTAACGTTGGACAGCACGCGGTGGCCCCACCACCCGTGGCAGGACAGGGCGGCCGAACCACCCAAATCTATTTGGTCCGCTTCAGGTGAAAGGTACCGCTTGAAACATCGTTAAAAAACTAGCTGCGACCAAAAATGAAAGCGTAGATCATTACGACCCTGACATCGACAATAACACACAATCAAAAATGCATCCAACACAACATAGCAACTGCGGGAAGTTGACAACCGATAATACGCCGGTTAATGCCATGCCTGCTGCCATGATCGTGTGCAACACGACAAAATGTACCGCGCCATTCTCAAGTTTAGTGCAAATGACAAGGAAGCGCAAGTTCCCGTGCAATGCGCGAATACCGCGACAAAATGCAACGCGCCATGCAACTACAAATGCGCATCGGAAGATGGTTCCAGCGCCCTCCATCGTGTTAAGAAGCATCACCCGTGCCTCAAACACCGGACCTGCAGGTGAGATGAGGTCAGGTCAGATCAGGTCAGGTCAGGTCAGGCTCGGCGCGCCGTCGGCCGGTACTGACCTGCGCTGTCGTTGTCGCCCTTGCTGAACTTGAACCACTGCAGCGGCGGTGGGTGGGCCTTGCTCGGGTCCAGGTGGACGGTGGGCGTGGCTACGGCCCGGCCCAGGAACTCGGGCTCGCCCTGCGCACCCGGTCAGGGGGCGGGGTCAGGTCACGCCAGGCCAGGGGTGGGGTCAGGTCACGCCGGGTCAGGGGTAGGGGTCAGGTCACGCCGGGTCAGGAGCGGGTCAGGCCACGCCAGGTCAGGGGTGGGGTCAGGTCACGCCGGGTCAGGAGCGGGTCAGGTCACGCCGGGTCAGGGGTGGGGTCAGGTCACGCCAGGTCAGGAGGCGGGGTCAGGTCACGTCCGGTCAGGGGCGGGGTCCGGTCACGCCGGGTCAGGGGTGGGGTCAGGTCACGCCGGGTCAGGAGCGGGTCAGGTCACGCCAGGTCAGGGGCGGGGTCAGGTCACGCCGGGTCAGGGGTGGGGTCAGGTCACGCCAGGTCAGGGGCGGGGTCAGGTCACGCCGGGTCAGGAGCGGGTCAGGTCACGCCAGGTCAGGGGTGGGGTCAGGTCACGCCGGGGTCGGAGCGGGTCAGGTCACGCCAGGTCAGGGGCAGGGTCAGGTCACGTCCGGTCAGGGGCGGGGCCAGGGAGAGGAATACGACCAAATATTCCCTATGCCCACCGCACCAGAATAGTAGGGGACAGACTAGTAGGTCGGCAAGGTCACACTGGTGAGTGGAGGGGTAAGGTCACACGGAGAGGGGCTGGCCGAGATCCACTAAACAGCACCAAAAATTTCATGGGAACTACAGTGGAGAAAACTGACACCAAACACCATCACCTAGTGTAGCGACATCATATACTGGCTATCGAGTACAAACTAGCCCGTGCACGTAATTGACACGCTGAGAGCGAGGGGAAAATTGAGTCACAATGAGGGGACGATAAACCCTCAAGACAACGTCCCCAGGGACAGTCCCGTAAACGCACACCAGGTTGGGGTTTCAGAGGTAGGCGGCGACAGCGAGCGTCCCCTGCTCGTCACCCACCCACCAACCAATCACAACGCCGGGAAGCTGATCATCACGGTAATGATCATCGGATCAAATCAATGATCATCACGGTTTGGGCCTATGGGCGGCTGTCTCCTTGGCTGCAACCACCCAGGCAGAACTTCTCCTGATTAACGCCAAATTTGGACCCCCCCCCCCCCAAAAAAAAGGGCACTGCCACAGCCAACTCTTGCTGCTGGCACACTTTCCCTCCTTCCGCCCCACGACAAAGTCTCCGCTCGATAACCCGGCCTAACGACGTGTTCTTGTCTGTTGAAAGAGAACGCGACACGAGACGCGACAAGAAGCAGTCAGCACGCCCCTTTTACGGAGCGTCGTGCGCCTGCACCGGCCCTATTATCGCTCCGGGGCGCGGCACCACCGGGACCCGAACTCGGCCTCCCTATGTGCGAGCCCAACACACTAACCCCTCTGCCGGCTCCTGGCGGCGCGCTCCACTCACGTAGGTGTCGTGGTCGAACACCTCGATGATGACCTGCGGCGGCTGCTCCAGGATGAACATGGGGTCGCCGTGGATGGTGAGGTCGTCGTACAGCAGCGTCTGGTCCCAGGTGGGGCACAGCGTGGCCCGACCCCGCTCCGTCCGCTGCGAGAAGTTCAGGAAGCTGACGCAGGCGTACGGATCTGCGGGCAGAGCGGCGCCACCGTCGGTCACGTGCTGTGGAACGGGGACGATGCGTGACAAGGCCAGACCAGCCGACCTAGCGTGCTCCAGTATCGTAAGACCGGGGCTGGTCATGCGTTACGGGCGTTTCGCGCGACTTCGACACTGGCATGTGACGTCATTGAAACATCTGACGCAGACGTGCAGGTGGCGTCACGCTTAATGACGTCACGATCAACGTGCATGGTTTATTTTTAACCTTCAGATTTCAGCCACTAACGCATTCCGTGCTGCGTTTCATACACGCATCAGGACGGGCGCACCATTGGGGGGCCGATTTTACCCTCCGGCGCCAATCTACTTGTCACATTATGTCCCGCTTCATGCCCACAACCGCCAATAAAAAGCACACAAAACGACACACGCGTCTTGTACGGCCCTGTGTGCAGCCCGTCACCAGCACGCCGCCGGCCACCGAACCCCGCCCGAGCGGCGTTAGCGGGCGGCGGCGCTGCGGCCGAGCAGACCGCCACCTACCGGAGAAGCCCGTCTTGTCTCCGGCCAGCAGGTCGCGCGCCTGGTAGATGTAGGCGCGCAGCTGGTACTGCTGCTCCATAGTGTGCACCAGGTACATCTTGGGACAGCTGAGGTGGACAACTGCCAGCCAGCCCGGTCACAGGTCACACAAAGGTCACGCAGAGGTCATATAGAGGTCATACAGACGCCACACAGGACGACGGCCTAAGAGGGCCGCCGGTGTAATCGGTGTGAGCCGTGGCGTTGGTGAGAATGGTGCATGAACGACGCCGCGTACTTCTTTTCGGCAACGTGGCTGTCATGGTTTCAGGACATTAAAAACTGGTGAAAGACATTCCCAGCACATTAATTTCCAACAATGCTGAGCTTGTGTAACCGTGGTTCATCCTACAAATTGTCCAATGATGCACATCTCGTGCAAAGGCACAAGGCCAAGCTGAACATGCATTGCGTTCAAGCTGTGATGTTATCAGCAGCGGTACAAACTCACTCGTTCAAAATGTCGTTAGGTCCACACCCATGCCTTAGTGTTGCAGCAGGAAAAAACTGAGCCCACCGCCATGCAAAGTGAAGACTGATTAACCGGCCACCGCCACCCGTGTTATCCTCACGGCGTGCGTTGGCAGAGCGCTGGGGCGAATCAGTAAACATTCAAGCTATCGGCATAGAGCTGAGTGACTGGGGGCAGCAAGGCATGTGTGCCGGTGGCGGTCAGAACGGGCTGGCGTCAGGTCGATGCCCGAGGTCAGGTCGATAGCGACCCGGGATCAGGCCGATACCGACCCCAGGTCAGGTTCATACCGACCCGAGGTCAGGCCGATACCGACCCGAGGTCAGGTCCATACCGACCCGAGGTCGGGCCGATGCTGACCCGAGGTCAGGCCGATGCCGACCAGAGGTCATGCCGATACCGACCCGAGGTCAGGTCGATACCAACCCGAAGTCAAGCCGGTATCGACCCGAAGTCAGGCCGATACCGACCCGAGGTCAGATCGATGCCCGAGGTCAGGTCGATAGCGACCCGAGATCAGGCCGATACCGACCCCAGGTCAGGTTCATACCGACCCGAGGTCAGGCCGATACCAACCCGAGGTCAGGTCCATACCGACCCGAGGTCAGGCCCATGCCGACCAGAGGTCAGGCCGATGCCGACCAGAGGTCATGCCGATACCGACCCGAGGTCAGGTCGATACCAACCCGAAGTCAAGCCGGTATCGACCCGAAGTCAGGCCGATACCGACCCGAGGTCAGATCGATACCGACCCGAGGTCAGATCGATACCGACCCGAGGTCAGGTCGATACCAATCCGAAGTCAAGCCAGTACCGACCTGAGGTCAGGCCGATACCGACCCGAGGTCAGATCGATACTGACCCGAGGTCAGGCCAATGTCGAGGTCAGGCCGATACCAACCCGAAGTCAAGCCGGTACCGACCGGAGGCCAGGCCGATACCGACCCGAAGTCAGGTCGATGCCCGAGGCCAGGTTTTAAAATGACCGGAAACCGGGTTCATACCGACCCGAGGACTCGAGCTCACACGAGGCCAGGTCCTTACCAAACCCAGGTCGAGCTCATGACGACTCAGCACCAGAATCATGTCCAACCAAGGTCCGGACAATAATGATAATAAATGAAAAAGTAGAGTTGAACAATGAACCAAACTAAACGAAATAATCCGTGAATAGCCTCAAAATTAACCAGCCCCTGAGCCCCAGCGACCATTACCACGTAGTGACGTTAAACGTCAGCCACCGACAGCGGGTCCAGAGGCTCTCCTCTCACGTCTCCATGCCGTCACTGCCAGCCTCACGCCGGCCAGATCACCAGATCATGCTGCCGTGCTGGCCGCTTCATGCCGTCCACGCAGGTCAGGTCAGGCCAGGCCAGGTCAGGCCAGACCAGGTCAGCCCAGGCCAGGTGAGGTGAGGTGAGATGAGGTGGGGTGAGCAGCAGCGGTGAGTGTGCAGAGCCGTGCCGTCCCAAAGCCGGCTTCAGGCGCGAAGCGCTACGATACGTCACTTTTGCTACCTTCCGAGTCGGGATCTTTCAGCCTGAAGATGGGCAGCTGGGGCACACTGTGGGTCGACATCACCAGCTTGCGGTGCCAGCGGCGGCGACGCACCATGTCCATCTGGGGACGGCCGGGTCACGGGGTCATCCAGAGGTCGCCACCGCTGAAGGGACAGGTCATAATGTGACACGACCGCGTGCCGCACAATGCGATGGGATCTTGTGCGACAGATTGGTTGCGGACTACCTTATGTTTGTGACGTACCTAGCGCATCATCAGAACACTTCCGGCTAATAAATGACAACAATATTTGGATCTAACACATTCGTCTCTACGGTCAGCTAGCTTCGCAGTCTCCTAAGCCATTTCTTGCGGGGACGACGAAATAATTACGATGAACGCCAGACTCGAACCCACCACCTATGTATACACGGTCGTGAAGGAGACACCTTCCTTGGGCCTCCTCCCCTCCTACCTCCCCTCGGGCCTCCTGCATCCCTTGGACCCCACCACGCATGCTATTACGCAGAGGTACTTACCACCGTCGAATCTTCCTCACCTCTGTAGCACTCCAGCTTCCCACGCGTAACCTTTTCCGCTTAAAACGCACGTGGTCTGCGTCACGCAGCTTGAAAACATAGTCAGCGGAGCTCACCTTTCGCTCGCGGGCGTGGAACTTCAGACCGAAGAGCGGCGCGTACTCCCAGCCCTCCTTGTCAGCCTCCGTCTGCTGCAGAGCGGCGGCACCGGCGACGGTCAGGTGGTGCCGGGCAGATGAACACGAGGACAGGAGGAGCACGAGGACAGGAGGAGCGCGGGGACAGAAGCGCGAGGGCAGGAGCTCGCGGACAGGAGAGACGCGAGGACAGGAGGAGCGCGAGGACAGGAGGAGCGCGAGAAGAGGAGAAGCCCGAGGACGGGAGAAGCGCGGGGACAGAAGCTCGCGGATAGGAGACACTCAAGGACAGAACGAGCGCAAGGACGGGAGGAGCGGTGCCGGGGCGTGGGGATGACGCCAGCCGGGCACATGCCTTCAGTCAACGTGATCCACACGGAAAGGCTGGGACATTCGCGCATTTCCCGCGGAGAGGATGTGCTTGGAGATCCCATCAGATGATGGAAGTGAGGACAGAGGCATCCTGCGCCTCATCCACAATAACCAGGGAGCCAATAACACAGTTGACCAGAAACGAACAACAAACAAATGAGGACTAGATGGGAGACGTACAGATTCTACCCACCTTTAGGTACATTCCTCCATCCAGTGTCAGTTCAACACAGATTCAAGAGCCCACAACTAAGGCAATAATAATCGCGTTCGATAGGTTCGGATGAAATCAATACCTGACGCCGGCATATACGCACACCTCATAGCTTGACATACAAAACTTCACATGACGTTAACACTTACCCGTAAACAGTGCACGCCATGCGGTTAATGGCAATGATGATTTGGGCTTTGGGGCGCGACGAGTGCGCTAGTCACATGGCGTCCATCGCAATGCGATTACTAAAGGTCCATTCGACCAGCTCCATTTCAATACAGGTCGGGAAACACCTCAAGACGTTATGCCTTTCTTGTGGCGTATCTTCGCGCTATGCTTATCATAATCATACATGTAGTAGCTGACCTAGCAGGCTGTTGGGTCAATCTGCTGGGTCTGTTGAGGCCAAAACCAGCAGACGTTCATCAGTACAGCCGCCTCACCTGAGCCTTGACCTTCTCCACCATGGTACGCGGCCGGACCCAGCGGCGGCGGCGGCACAGGTGGTACAGCTTGTCCACGGGCCCGTACCCTCCCAGCGTGGACTCGACGCAGTACTCCCAGCCCTCCTCGTCCACCGCGCGGTTCAGGTCCACCTGCCGATGGACACCCAGGTGGATGTCAGTCGTGGTGAAATGACGAGCCGAAATGCGGGGTTTGTCTTCGTTTTTTTATATTTTACTCAGATCGCGCTGAAACGACGGCACCCATAAAAAAAATGGGTGCCGTCACTTTTCTAACATTGTCGTGTGGCGTCAAAACCAAGACGATCAGAAAACGTAACGACGTAACTTCTTTTAATTTGCAGGCCTCTGTGTGCTTTACAGAAGCGGCATACTTGTCCATTGTGACAAGGTGCGGCATGACAAGGACAACAAGGACAAGGATATCTGTTTGCCGGTCACGTACGCTCCCCGTCGGACTGCTGAGACAAATACACCCATCATCGCGAGACAAATCAATATCTGACCGTCCACGCGTCGTTCCACTCCCAGCCGGGCGGCGTCACGATCTGGTCCCGCTGCTGAGACGGGTCTCCGCGCACGTCCGTCCACTGCGTGAGCGCCGGCATCCAGCTGCCAGCTGGCAGCCGGTTCTCGTTCTCGAACACGTCCTCCAGGTACGTGGAGTGGCCGGCGTCGGCCTCGTAGAACAGGCTGCGCAGTAGACGACCATAACATGGCGTAAGAGCCGGCTGGCCGGTTGGCCGCCCAGCGCCGTCGGGTGTGTTATGTGCGGCTAGTGGCGGGCGGACCGTTGACAGCGTGTGCAGCATCAATCACAGAGCCAGGAGCGGCCATGACGGCGGCGCACGGCGGCAGCCATTCCCGGTATGACGTAATCAATCATCAGACAGCACGCGCGTGATGACGACAAAAACATACAAAAGGATACGGAGAGCAAACACTTGAGATAATAATGTCCAACACACGCGTCTTTTTATTTCTTTTTTGCCACAACCGCAGGCCGTGGTGTGGTGGTCACAAAAAGGTACGGCTGATACCTGAGGCTAATTAATATACCTAAATGCTTCTTATTATGCTTCTTATTATGATAGCGATGTTAAACAGGCTGGCCCAACGGGTGAAAGGGGCATGCATTCTTCCCCACACCACCATTCCCACAACTGACACGCCGTTTGTCTTGGGACAACCGTCCACTCTCATTGCGCGATCTTCTGAAACATCCGTCATTCTCTGAATTGTTGATGGGACTTCAGGAGCACACTCACAAGCAATTAATTTCAAGGAGCATATTCTGTTTCCGTCGCAATGTCCACCAGAGAAAATGAAAAAAAGAAAACGCGTCTGACTGCACAATTTTGTTGACCGGCAACCGATCACGCGCAAAAACAACCATCCATCCAACAATCCTGATGGACTTCATGTCATGACAATATCTTATAACGTACCTCTTAACTGTTATAAATTATTGTTTATGTGTGCAATATCTATGAATTGCGTAGGCCAGGGACGGCCTGGCAGCCACCACCATCAGGGCCGCGGTCCCCATTACCAACAGCTGTCCATAAGTTGCAACATATGACGTCAGAGGCAGGTGCGTCACAACATTTTCCCCAGCTTGGAGGATGGCCGCTTGTGTATGACGTACGAACTTGCGACGCCACAGGTAGCAACTCAAGAAGGCACTTTGCCAATTCAGAACGCGGCCCTGAAGTCGCAGCCTTGAAGTTTGCCGCTATAGAAGGCGGCGCTCGATAATAGCCTGACCATGCGCCAGGACCACTTCAATGTCACAAGTCCCGTGCATTAATTGCACATAACTGTTTGAATAGCCCACCAGCTACTAAAGAGCAGACTCGTGCTCAGCTTTGATGATGGGTCGGGGTCGACTCCACAGTCCGCCGAAATCGGGCCGAGTCAAAGTGGAGTTGACTCCAACGAAGACTGCGGAATCGGAGTCAGAGGTGACCCTACAACCGCACCTAGTGTCAGCGTGGAGTCGACCCCAATTACGACGTTCATTTTTGGCCAATCGAAGTCCGGACGCGCGGACCTAACACCAACTGCCGGAGGCCGACCGGTCACTGACCTGGGCTCGGGGTCGACGAACCAGTTTCCGTCGAACCGCCAGCCGTCGGGTGGCATGAAGCCGTCACGCGGCAGCAACATGTCGCCGCCGGCGTCGGACCACTTGGGCCGCGTCATCGTCGGGCCCTTGGTCACCCAGTGGCCGGCGATGCTCGACTGCCGACACCCGGCCGGCGACGTCATCATGACGTCACATCACGCACGTGACTTGTGATGCTACACGGTGCGTGACCCAAGAGGCAGCACGAAACGAAAAGCGGTGACGGGGACGGGGACGGGGACGAAACGCAAGCGGTGCTCACGGTGAAACATCATGTGACGTCATCACAATAATGGCATCACGTAGCGGATAACCTGAGCGTGATGTACCGTCACGATCGACCAACATATCATGAGACGCGACCACTACGTCAACCGAAACCACACGCCTCTGGTTCGGCAAAGCCGCCGGAACTTCCATTTGACGTAAGAGCTAACAGCCCAGCACATAACGGAAGGGGCTCACGACCTCTCTCCGATTTTTGCGGCGCATTGCTTAAGTTCGTCCACAGGTATTGCTTCGCTGTCAGTGACGGCCGGATGTGAGGCGATAATAACGGCCATATCGCGGCCCAGCCATATATCGTAAGTCCAGCGAATGCGGAAAGTGGCGACTGGACTGCAGTTTTAAAGGTCACGCCAGTTGAAAACTGCGCCGAGTTTAATTTCTGTCTGAACGGGCGAACAACGAAATTAAAAAATGCAACTGAATTCCCGCAAACGCCGAAAACAGACATATTGCACATTTTGGCTCCCCTAAGAACGGGGTATGGCTATGCCCTACGCACTGTAATCAATGAGAGCAGCAGTATGCTTGCCACATCTTACCAGACCCATGGCAAGGTCAAAACCTTTCAGAGCTATTACAGCGGGACGCCTTGCAAAAGGCGCGGTGTGAGGGACGCTGCAGCCATCAAAGTATTCAACTGAACTGAGCACATACCTCGACGGTCCCAATATCTTCCAAATAGCAATTTCAATGCATGCGGTTTCGCCGGTATTTCTGCGATGACTGGTATGGTATGACTGGATGACAAGGTATCCAGCGCGATTGCAATTTATTATTGTTCGGTCATATGAACCTGGACGATGAGATGCTGAGGATGGTGATGACGATTTGGACCTCAGGGCGCGCCGGTTACCTTGGTCACACGGTGCCGCGCCCATTTTAACCTGGACATTAAGCTCCGCGTCCTCATAACCGGGACGTAGCACCGCAACACGTTGTCGTACGTCTTGTGAACACCTCCGCGCCTTCCCGTCCCCGCACCAGGTCCTCGTGTGTTCTGTGTGCGCCACTGTACCTTCTGTCTCCGCACTGGCCCTCATGCGTTCTTTGTAAACTAGTGTTTCTCCCTGTCCCCGTACGGGATCCTCTGTACACTACAGTACGTACACTCTGTGTACACCAATGCATCTCTCCGATCTTCATTCCTAGTCCTGATACGCCCATGTGCATACCGCCGTCCTTCCCCCGGCCCCGCACGTGATCCTCAACCGTCTGTGTCCATCGCCGTCCCCCGCCTGCCCCGTACCTGGTCCTCTCGCGCCCGTGTCCATCGCCGTACTCCGCCTGCCCCTTGCCTGATCCTTCGTACCCCTGCGTCCCCCGCCGTCCCCCGCCTGCCCCGTACCTGGTTCTCGCGCCCGCGTCCATCGCCGTACTCCGCCTGCCCCGTACCTGATCCTTCGTACCCCTGCGTCCCCCGCCGTACCCCGCCTGCCCCGTACCTGGTTCTCGTACGTCTCGGCGTACACCACCGTCTCGGCGTCACGGTGCCCGGCGATCCAGGCCTTCGACTCCTGCTCCTTGCCCAGCCATAGGCGGACACGCAGCAGCGCCGGGATCTTCTGCTTGTTAGGCCGCGCTCCTGTCGGGCAGGGACGGGATGGAGGCCGGGTCATATAAGGTCACACTGCGCCATGCCGCGCCATACCGCATCCTATTGTGCCATACCGCGCCATACCGTGTCATACTCCGCCATACCGCGTCACGACGCGCCATACCACGTCACATTCCGTCATTCCTCGTCATACCGCGCCACATCGTGTCATTCCGCGCCATACCGCGTCATAATGCGTCATACCGCGTCATACCGTGTCATACTACGCCATACCGCGTCATAATGCGTCACACCGCGTCATACCACGCCGTCCGCAGCACCGGGGCAGTGACCTGGCGCCTGAGTGACTCTCGATGCCCTCCAATCTGAGTGGTGCCTGAACGACGGCCCCGCCGCCCTGTCATGACTTCTCTCCATAAAGAGGGTATGCACACACGCAGCTGTACGATATCTGCGATAGATATGTTATGTACACAGACAGCGGGAGGTACGAGCACGTGTACCATTAAACCTTCCATCCTACCGTTAGATCACGCACTCCAGCACATGCGCTCCTAACCGCTCCTGGATCGAGTTGTCGTAATCCTCCCACCAGGTCATGTATCTACATGTCTCCATAAGTATGCTATTACACCCGGGAGGGGTGCCCTGATTCCTTAGGAGCCCTCGTCTCGTCTGGTAGCTCCTCTAACGGCCTCGTCATGTAGCACCTCATCGATGCTGGTTACCCACCCGCTCAGACATTACACTGAAAATGAAAGCGCGCTTCCTCCTCGGGGAGCTCTTCCACCCACCTGTGGCCTGATTTCAAATGGAAGCCGGCTCCTTTCTTAGAACCCTGTCCCTATGTCCAGGCGCGTAGCTCCTCTCTGGACACCCCTTCTTCCTCCCCCTCACCTGGAGTCTGGCCCGGTATCGGGTGACTACACTCGCAACTCCACTCTACTCCCACTCCCTCTGCCCATCCACTCCACTCCCCTCCCACTTCACACCACTCCCCGCTCCAACTCCTCCACTCCGCTCCACTCCAGTCCCCTCCCACTTCACAGCACTCCCCGCTCCAACCCCTCCACTCTACACTCCCCTCCCACTTCACACCACTCCCGTTCCAACCCCTCCACTCCACTCCACTCCACTCCACTCCCACTCCCACTCCCACTCCCACTCCACACTCCCCTGCCCTGCCTCACCCGGGAACTTGAGCTGCACAGTCTGCAGGCGGCCGCAGTCGGCGCCGCTCTGGCGCTCGTCGCCGGCGTACAGGATGGTGTGCGCTGGGATGCGGCAGTACGCCAGACGCTTCTTCCCGCTCAGCATCCAGATTATGATGTCCGGCATCGAGTTCTGCGGCTGCGGGAGGGAAGAGAGTGGCGTGAGCAGCGGGAGAGAGAGACAGAGGCAGAGGCAGAGGCAGAGGCAGAGGCAGAGGCAGAGACAGAGACAGAGACAGAGACAGAGGCAGAGGCAGAGGCAGAGACAGAGGCAGAGGCAGAGACAGAGACAGAGACAGAGACAGAGACAGAGACAGAGACAGAGACAGAGACAGAGACAGAGACAGAGACAGAGACAGAGACAGAGACAGAGACAGAGACAGAGACAGAGACAGAGACAGAGACAGAGACAGAGACAGAGACAGAGACAGAGACAGAGACAGAGACAGAGACAGAGACAGAGACAGAGACAGAGACAGAGACAGAGACAGAGACAGAGACAGAGACAGAGACAGAGACAGAGACAGAGACAGAGACAGAGACAGAGACAGAGACAGAGACAGAGACAGAGACAGAGACAGAGACAGAGACAGAGACAGAGACAGAGACAGAGACAGAGACAGAGACAGAGACAGAGACAGAGACAGAGACAGAGACAGAGACAGAGACAGAGACAGAGAGAGAGAGAGAGAGAGAGAGAGAGAGAGAGAGAGAGAGAGAGAGAGAGAGAGAGAGAGAGAGAGAGAGAGAGAGAGAGAGAGAGAGAGAGAGAGAGAGAGAAGAGAGAGAGAGAGAGAGAGAGAGAGAGAGAGGGAGAGAGGGGGAGTAGACAAACTGGCGTGAGCGACAGAAACCAAGAGAGAACGGTGTGAGCAGCGGAAGGGAGGCGGGAGAGCGGCGTGAGCAGCGAAAAGAGGAGGGCGAGAGCGAGCGGCGTGAGCACTTGGCCAAGTGACATCAGGCCAGATCGGGCGAGGCTGGTCACATCATGGTTAGGTCAGATCCCGTCAGCCCACATCACACCAGGTCACACCACCCGTGCCGTACCTCCACGGCCAGGTCGCGCAGAGTCGCGCCGTACTCCTCCAGCTGATCGGCCGCCTCCTCCAGGTCGGTGGCCGTTTCCCTCAGCTGCAGCACCCCCTGCGACGGCGGACAGACAGCGGTCAGACGGCGCCACGGCCGCTGGGAAGGCAGGCACAGACAGGACCTGGGGACGGGTCCCAGCCCCTGGCACGGTCTCCCCTTCGCCAGAGGTGGGCATCAGGACTATACGCAAATGTAAGGGAGCAGTGCAGTAAAGAAATGTAAGGGAAATGAACCCCGCGCCTTGCCACTCGCGCCTTTTAAGCGTTAACTACATAATTACGCAAGTTGTTCGGTGCATGTGCGAGAAACATTATTCACATGTATAGAACAGTGGTAATAGCCTTATTCCTCGCAGAAAAACCATGGAGATACGGTTGGGTTGATATTTTAGCAACATGCCTTTATCGAAACGACGGCAGAAGCAAATTCTGGTGAGAAGCCATTTAGTTGTTATTGATGAATAGATGTGCGTCCGTGCGTGTGGGTATACTTGGTGTGTTTTGTACGTTTGCCTTTGACGTATCCCCGTGTAATTGTCCATAAGACTGTCCTCTTCACACGTCCCACCTCTTAACTTTATCGACTCGACACTCGGAATAGCCATTTTATGTTGGAGTACAGTGACGTGTAAAACGTACAAGAGACTTGAAGTCCAGGAAACAAGCACATGAACCAGATGCATACACAAGTGGTACATACGGACCAAAGGATGGGGGGGGGGGAGGGGGGGCGGGACCGCAGAGCGCAGAGGCCGGTCACCACGCGCTTCCGTCCAAACCAAATCAACACCCACGACAGCGGCAGGTTGACTTCGGCGTCTCACGCCCACAACCGACCTTGATGATGTTATCCAGCTTGGCGCGCCTCTGGCCGAACAGCAGGTTGTCCAGCAGGTTGGTGGACTGCACGTGCGGCTCCGGCGTCGGCAGCGGGATCCTGCGGAGGACGCAGGCCGTCGGTCGGGGAGCCGGGCGACACTGCAGCAGCACAAACCCGCGCGCGACACCGGCAACTGGGTGGCTTAGTCTCAGCACCGACGCTCGATCCCAACGGTGGGAGGATGGCGGACAAACGGTGAACACTGGACAGTGGACAGCGGGCGGACGGTGGACTGTGGGTGGACAGTGGAGGGACGGTGGACGGACGGTGGAAGGTGGACGATGGACGGTGGACAGACGGGAGCCACCACAAGACCTGCGGTCACTATCACCGACATCGTTCGCTCCCCCCCCCCCCCCCTCAACTCATCACTACACAACTGCATCGCCACAGACAACCTTGGAGGCGGCCGCGCACCGCCGACTGCGCAGCAGCTAGTCATTACGAGGCACGACGCTACAGACGCGTGCTCTGGTACCGGCAGTTGCGGAGCAGCTGGTCGCAGACGCCGACAAACTCGGCGGCCAGCTCCTCGGCCCCCTTCGCCGCCTGGATGCTGGTCCGGAGTGCCGCCAAACTCCGCTTCAGCGTCTCTACTGTCTGGGGAGCCGGACAGACAACGGTCACCACCAGACAGCGATCACCAATGGACAGCGGTCGCCGCCGGACAGCGGTCACTACCGGACAGCCGTCACTACCGGACAACGGTCACTACCGGACAGCCGTCACTACCAGACAGCGGTCACCGCCGGACATCGGTCACCAACGGACATCGGTCACCATCCAGCGATGGTCACCACCGGACATCCGACACCACCGGACACCATCTTACACAGGACGCCAGTTTGTGACCGGTGGTTCCCGGTTCCCATCAGCCCCCCATCCCCCCCCCCCCCCGCCAGACGTAGCCAAGCGAGCGCATGACAAACGCCGAAATATCCGGCTGCGAAGTAGTCTGTGCAATTCACCGGAGATTAGCAACGCGCAGGAAATATTTACAGACAGGGAGACCGTTTTCTGCACCGCGTCGTCCAGCATAACTCTAACTGACAAAGTCGGGCCTTCGCTAACGCACTGACAACGCCAGACCTTCGCTAACCTAAGTCCCTAGTTAACGGTGACACGGACAATGACACAATCTGACAGAAACGAATCGGCTCGGAAATTATCGGCGCGCTTTGCGTCTGGACCAAGCGGGCGAAACGAGTCTGTTTAGACATCAATGACCGGACGGCTTGAAGGCCGGGAGCTGACAACAACAGGCGTCTACTGTCCGTTACTGAACCCCAAGTTAGCCGGAAACGAAGGTCCCGTGGGTGGTGAGCGCTATCTTCGCCAAGCTGGTTTGTGTGACCACAAGCATCGCTCGTGGCAGCAGGATTTGTGCCCTGCGCGTTCAGGTCACGCCATCGGTCAAGCGCAGCCTACGCCAAGTGATATCAACCGTCAGCAGCGTATGTCACGTGACACCCACCATCAGCGGCCCACGTCACGCGCCGCCCGCCATCAGCAGTCTACGTCACGTGACACCCACCATCAACAGTCTACGTCACGTGACACCGACCATCAGCAGCCTACGTCACGCGCCGCCCACCATCAGCAGCCCACGTCACGCGCCGCCCACCATCAGCAGCCTACGTCACGCGCCGCCCACCATCAGCAGCCTACGTCACGCGCCGCCCACCATCAGCAGCCCACGTCACGCGCCGCCCACCATCAGCAGCCTACGTCACGCGCCGCCCACCATCAGCAGCCCACGTCACGTGACACGCACCATCAGCAGCCTACGTCACGCGGCACCCACCATCAGTAGCATGTTGAGCGTGTGCAGACGGTGCGAGATGTCCTCCCATTGGCAGTGGACCGTGACGCAGGGCTTGGCGCCGCTCCACGGCAAAAAGTAGTACCTGAGGGTGAGCGCAGCCCAGTCAGACCGGCGGACGGGGAGCGTCGATGCCAAGCTCGGCACGCGCAGCGAGCGGTCGTCCTCTCCGCTCCTCTCCGGCGATGTGTGCAGACGGAGTGCTGCGATGTGTGCAGACGGAGTGCGACGCCGCGCGCAGATTCATCTCCGGCACCCGCGCGCTCGGTACTCACATGCAACCGTCGAACACGGCGTTGGTGGGCTGCGTGAAGGAGGGGCTGGGCATCACCGAGTCCTCAAACTTGTTGCCGTAGTTGCCCATGGACACTTCGAACTCCACCGGCTTGTCTACCTGAAACCGGAGCGGTGGAGACTCGTCAGCCGCGCCCGGTGGTCCGGCCAGCAGCTCAGGGTCGGCCAACACAGACGGCTCGCGACATGGCATGGTATGCCACTACTACAAAACGGCTCAATGAATGCGTCAGTGTGTGCAAATGACGTTTGCCGCTGGAATACCGCCCGATGCGTCGTGCAAAACTAACCAGCAAACTACGAACGAAAATCGCTCGGTTCCTATACCCGACAGCTGTCGAGAGCGGCTCTTCAGGTCAGCGGCTGAGGTCACCGACTGAGGTCACCGGCTGAGGTCACCGGCTGCCGGTGACCACTGCAGATGAAGGACTGCGTGGGGAGAGAGAGCACAGACAGAGGGGGACGAAGCGGGAGAGAGAGCGGAGGAGAGAGCAGCAGGTCGGCGGGCCACGCTTGACACAGATGGACTTCTCAGCTGGCCCCACCCACCTCCGACACCATGGTGGCGTCCTCGAAGGCGCAGTGGACCAGGTACTTCCTCCGGCGCAGGAACGACTGCGGCAGGGCAACAGGTGCTGGGTCACGGGGTCAAACAATGGGTCGCGGGGTCAAACAATGAGTCACCGGGCCAAGCAATGGGTCACGGGGTCAAGCGCCGCGGTCGGGGGTCAGGTCCCGGCTGATCGTTGGCGGTTGCGCTAGTACAAATGACGCGGGGGGGGGAGATGTGCAGAGGGGGGGGGGGGGGGGGAGATGCGCAGGCGGTGGAAGCGATGACTACCATTCACATCTTGCAACTGATTTCTAATCACTATATTGCGAAACACCGCGTTCAGAAAACGATATTTGTTTTGACACCATTCTGTACCAGCAGCCCAGTGGAAACGGTGTCTGTCCGCGACCTGCCACGCCCAAATAAATGCACCAGGTTCTGGGATGAATAAAAGTTCTGGCAGTCAAAGCGACCTGGAGATCTGCTAACCACCTTATCGCTGGGTCAACTTCATCCGAGTGCGACATGACTGCACGGAGATCAGAAGAGCGCCCGACTTCCGCATCATCTCGAGGCTTTCAAATGTCATCGCCAGCCAACGCAGTAAGTGAGTAGGCATTATAAGTTTGTGGGCCACAACTGGCACGCCGGGTTCAAGCCCGCCAACGGCGTCAGCTCAAGGCGCCCGGTCGAGGCCGGCCCGTTGTGAACTGTGGCCCACATACTCGCCCCTGGTGCAGAATGCAAAACAGGTAAGCTCGGCGCACCGGTGCAGGACAAGATGACGTCAGACTGTTAGAAGAGAGACACTGCTCTTGACAACGTTAACTATCGCATCGACAGAACTCCGCCATTCCAATCTGCCCCCCCCCCCCCCCCCCCCCCCCCCCCCGGCACCGCAGCTCCCAATAACACCACCGTTTCACTGTCTCGTTCACGAAACCACGACACACAACACTCTGACAAGTCCAAACTAAGGTGACTGTCCTCCGGCCGCCACTCCCGCCGCGCCGCCACTTCTGCCCCTCCCCCCCCCCCCCACGCGCCGGCACGCGCCGCCACTCACGTCGATCTTGAGTCCGTCCTCGAAGTCGATGGGCTCCGACGCCACGTTGGGAAACTCGCCCACGGTGGTGCGCAGCGCCACCAGACAGCGGCCGCGGTACGCGCAGCCCTCGCCCTCGCCTGTCGACACCGGCGCCGCCGTACAGCGCACCGCGGACGCACGAGGTGGGCGGTCTCTGTGTGCAGACGCTCGTCTGGCGCCGGTGTGGGCGCATGCACTGCATGCTGCATCGCTTGGTACATGCGCACCAGCTATGGGACACTGTGGTACAGGATCTTTGGGGAACGACGGTGCAGGATCTGTGGGACACTATGGCACAGGACCTAATGGACCCTAATGGTGCACTTTGATAGAGAATCTATGGGACACTATGGTACAGGATTTTTGAGACACTTCGGCACAGGATCTATGGGTCACTATGGTACGGGATCTGTGGGACACTAGGATACATGAACTAGGGGACCCTAATGGTACGAGACCTATGGTACACTATGACACAGGATCTATGAGACACTATGGTACAGGATGTGTGGGACACTATGGTACACGATTTGTGGGGCACTACGGTGCAAGATCTATGAGACACTACGGTCAACATCTATGGTAAATGTGCACGAGCTGTGGACACGAGCACGGGCGAGACACACGAATTCCCTCACCCAGTATGATAGCAAGCCGCATTGTTCGACATGGTAACTCCAAATGCAAGGTGAAGTGCGTTACAGTTCATTACCAAATCCGAACTTCTGTACCATGGCGATCCTCTTCACGGTTGTCAAGTATTCACTCAGACAGTGAGCGCACGGAAACAACCAATCGGCTATGCCAAACTCACACCAGTGGTATGTGGCGGGGGGGGGGGGCGACTTGAGACCTGACGCTTGTCAAACGGCACAGTGCTCCAGCGCATGCTCAGATCCCTTCTCAGCCCCCCCCCCCTTACCTCTCCCACTCCTGTCAAGGGCCAAGCCCAATGTCCTCCAGCCGATCCCCGGTCCCGGCTCCCGATCCCGGTCCCTGGTCCCCGGTCCTGGTTCCGGTCCCGGTTCCAGTTCCGGTCCCCGGTCCCGGTCCCGGTCCCGGTCCCGGTCCCGGTCCCGGCCCCGGCTCCGGTCCCTGGTCCTTCGTCCCTGGTGCGTGGTCCCCGGTCCCGTCCCTGCCGCCTTCTCACCCTCGTCGAGCGTCTCCTGGTCGTCCTTGCCGAAGATGCTGAACTCGCGCGTGCTGCCGTAGAAGTTGACGAAGCAGGGGCCGAACGTGGGCAGGAAGCCGTCCTCGCCGGCCACGCTGATCGACGGCAGCGGGATGAACGTCGTGCCGATCAGGTCACTGTCCGACACCCGGTCCCTGACGGAGGTCACAGAGGTCACTGGCTAACCCACGACCGCTGAAGTTCCTGCTCGAAACCCGGCCCTTGGTGGAGGTCACAGAGGTCACTGGCTGACCTACGACCGTTGAAGAGGCCGCAGAGGTCAGTGTCCGATACCCGGTCATTGGTGGAGGTCACAGAGATTACGAGCTAACCTCGACCTCTGGGGAGGCCGCGGGAGTCACTGTTTGACACTCGGTCCCCGGTGAAGGTCACAGAGGTCACTGGCCGACCTCCGACCGCTGAAGAGGCCGCAGGGGTCACTGTCCCACACCCGGACCTTGGCGAAGGTCACATACGTCACAGGCTGATTTCCGACCACTAGAGCCCGCAGGGGTCGCCTCCCGACACCCAGGCCCTGGCGGAGACACCGCGCCAGACGACTCCCGGTTGGGAAGCGCGCTCAGCCTCCAGTTCAGAAAGTCTCACCAGTCCTTCAACAAGAGCTTCAGCTTGTTGGCGAAGGCAGGGAACTGGAAGCCCAGGTGCAGGCGCTGCTTGAAGTCCGGATGGTCCGTGCTGTACACGACCTGCAACACGGCAATTGCAGCACTGCAACCGGCGGCACTGCCACCCTGGTCCCAGCGTCATACACCCCAGGTTTGACATCACTCCTGGCAGATGTTTTGCGCATCGAAGACGAGCCGTAGCAGTCGACACGGCCGACGTCAGGCGAAACCTCACGGCGCAACGTCTGAGGGACCGCACAAACCAGCCGAGGACCCGCTGTCCTTCTGAGACTGACTGGGAAATGGCCCGACATGGATAGGGTCTCTGCTCTGACGCCGATAGCAGCGTGCATGGGTCCTTCCGAACTGGCAGGTAGGCCGGCATAGCTAGTGTAACATGCGGTGAGCTAAGGAACTAGTTTATACTGATTTTGACAAACCGTCCTCAAAAAGGCAACAGACAGCCTGGAATAAACGCACAAGCGTGAATCCTAAAAAAAAACTTGTTCTCGCTCGTAAGGGACAAAATGAAAATCTCAGCGCACAGGTACGCCACTCAGCGCATCCATCTGTCCTGAGATACTAATGACCGCGACAATGGAGATCAGGGACTTTAAAATTGCCAGGTAGTCATCCACTGCTATCACCACGGCACATGCGCGGTATAGTGACGCCGCGCACGCTCAAGCCGGGAACAGTTACATCGGAATACAAGCTGCGCGAAAAGCATGCCGACTCATAACCGTTGCTTGGCAACTTGGCTGGCACCGTGGCAGTTTCTTGTGGCGTCAATGACGTCGTTTTGTGCCCTCCTTGCACGAGCAACCAACACATGTATTTGATAGCGACGTCTCAGGCCTGAGGCGGAGGCGATAGATATATCAGATGGAGATGATACGTCTGATGTCATCGGCAAGAAGCCCACTCCCCGTGTCTCACCGGCGTCTGCACTTCCTTCCCGGCGAAGCAGAAGACGAAGTAGGGATCGACCAGCTGCTTGCTGGATACGCTACCAAAACCCAGCACTTTCTTGACCGTACTCAGCGCTCCGGTGTCCACTGTAGCAAAAGGCCGGGGGTGAGCAGGCGGAAATGGCACCATTTCTGAACGAAATATACACGGGCACGACACTTTCGACCAACAGTCGCCATTGAAACCCGGAGCTAGCTTAGAAAGACAACACCAATTTCCCGCCAGAGGAGAAATAATAACACGACAGAAAAGGCAGCCCGCTGATATAAACGACCTTGTTTTTTAAAACCCATGTAGTTGGCAGACATTTCCATTCTAGCGGCCGCACCAGTGTCAACTCGACATACCACCTGAGATCAGAACTAGTACACACTTCGACTACGGGGAAGAAGCACGTCGAAGGTAGTACACACAGTGACACAGTGCACTAATAGCATCCACTAGACAATGCGCAATGGGTGCGATTAAAAAGTCCGCGCGCTCCGCGTTCTGGACGAATGTCCTCAGCGTTCTCACGTTTATGATGCTTGACACGCATACACCCCTCCTTAATCTTCTTGTCTGCGCCCCTACCCCTCCCCCTCCTCGTCCTGCTGGCGACGCCTCTGGCCGGCTCGTGACTCACTCCGCGGCAGGTCCTCCGCTTGGTAGACGCTCAGGTGGAAGCCGGCCGGCGCCAGCCTCAGACCGGCCGGGAACAGCAGGTTCTGCTCCACGTCCTCCTGCTCGGCGTTCCCCGGAGGCTTCAGGTTCGGACACTCATCGTTCGGTCCCATGATGGCGATGCTGACTTTCAGGTAGCCTGGCGATGGTCGAGCGAGGCGTCGGGAATAGTGACGCTTCACGTGGTTCTGCTAATTGACATATACTAACCACTACGCGTCTGGGAACGCTGAGATACGCGGTTTAACTCTCCGCAGTGTCCACCCTTCCTGACAGGGTGGGAAGCAGGCGACGCCATATAGCCTCAGCAGCCGAGTGCGTCGTAAAGCCCCACTAGCCCATGCTCCTTGACAAAGCCCGGCTTGGTCGGGTGACAATGTCAGCAGCGGTGGGAGCCCTCGCGTCCCACCGATCTTCACAATCCGCAGCGATTTTGAACTTCAGATGGTCAGACACGTGGAGAAGCTCGAAGAGAGCTGCCCTGCCCTGCCCTGCCCTGCCCTGCCCTGCCCTGCCCTGCCCTGCCCTGCACTGCCCTGCCCTGCCCTGCACTGCACTGCACTGCACTGCACTGCACTGCACTGCACAACACTGCACTGCACTGCACTGCACTGCACTGCACTGCACTGCACTGCGCTGCGCTGCGCTGCGCTGTGCTGTGCTGTGCTGTGCTGTGCTGTGCTGTGCTGGGTGGGCTGTGCTGTGCTGTGCTGTGCTGTGCTGTGCTGTGCTGTGCTGTGCTATCACGTGCTGGTCTGGTCTAGTCTGGTCTGATGAAGCGGAACTACGAACTTACCCACTTCTCAATTGTGCCCCACAAACTTATAAAGAGGGAACAAGCCGATTCGGCTCGCGTTTCCAACCTGACTTAATTGCTTATTAGGACGTGTTGGTAAGAACAAGTTGTTTTCGGGCTGTGAGGCAGCTCGATGCACATCTAAAAAGTCCGTGGATTACGACCACAGAGCGCAGATTGGCACCTTATTTCATGAGACTGGTCCATGTGGCTACCACGTCCCAGCGTGTCTGTTCCGAAAATGCATGGTCTGACCCCGCGCGATCCCCCCCCCCACACCAAGGTCAGGTGAATGGCACGGACGTGAAAGCTCAGCCAGGAGTGGTCGCCACCGCCCACCGTGCTCCATCTGCGACCGCCCAAGTCAATGAGTCGCCTTCAGATCAAAACTCGTGCGCCCGCACGGCCGCCTTCAGATCAAAACTCGTGCACCCACACGGCTCGGCATGGGAGTCTATTGTCCAAACTGTTGTCGGATTCCTCCCGGCTACGGAAGATGCCCTCACACACGGCCCTCTGACGGGGTTGTGCCGGCAGCCACGCCTTAGTCTGGGACATTATGAGGCGGCCACTCAGGCTGGTCCTTGTGTCTCAACAGTCTTGGACCGTTGGTGTCCGAGCAATCGTGTCCGAAATGCCCGTTCACGGTGTCCGAAGTGACCGTTGGTGTCCGGGCAATTGTGTCCGAAGTGTCCGTTCACGGTGTCCGAAGTGACCGTTGGTGTCCGGGCAATCGCGTCCGAAGTGTCCGTTCACGGTGTCCGAAGTGACTATTCGTGCCCGGGAAATCGTGTCCGATGTGAGGAAGCTACGCCTTCAAGTCGGGTCTCCACGCAAAGAGTGGCAGGCCCTTGTGCAGCGGCTGTCTGTGAGGAATTTGCATTGGACTGAACCAAACTACAACACTACACACTCAGCCCAGACTGCATTTCATACTCATCGTCAAATTAATCACGTGCCATGATTTCGTTAGCGACCCACCACTCCAGGTTTCGTCGCCTTCAACTATTCCCCTCAGCCGATTCGCTATTGCGTTATGACACACACAGAACCGCCGGCCCAGCCTGTCCACATGTCGCTCTACACATCAGACCATCCTCCTCGCTCCTTCAGCGCCTGATCAAAACAAAGTCAGCTTGGCTAGCGGTCATCTCATGACTTCATCAGCAACACACTCATTACTCCGTCAGACGCTCACGAACGACCCAAGGCACACGTCATACATGACTCCATCAGAACGTTGTTCGTGACTCTCGGCGACTCTTCAGCAACTCCTTTATTAGCTCTCGAAACAGGACTCCCACGGAGACTTGCCCCTGACATAATCGCTGAGTCACCCGTGCCTCCATCTGTGACTCCACCAGACTCCATCGGCGACTCAACAGGGCTCGATCGGTGGCTGAACATGACTCCATCGGAAACATCACATGACTCCGTTGGCGACTATCCAGGACTCCGCCGGTGACCTATCGTGCCTCCTCCGATGACTCCCCTTGGCTCCGCCAGCAACTCACCCATGACTCCGCCGGCATCCTCGTCGAGTGCGGTGAGCGCCAGCCACTTGTTGACGAAGGCGTGCAGCGGCTGGTCATACACGGTGCCCAGGTCCAGCTTGAACACGCCCAGCACCACCTTGGAGCGCAGCATACGAGAGTTGCACACCTGGCGGGGAGCACGGTCACCCGGTCAGCCGGTCAGCCGGTCACCTGGACACCTGGACACCCGGCCACCCGGCCACCCGGCCACCTGGTCACCTGGACACCTTATTTCCGGTCACCTAGTCACCAGGTCGCCTGGTCACCTGGTCACCTAGTCGCCGCTCACCTGGTCGCCTTGTTACTGCTCACCTGGTCACCTAACCACTTGGTCACCGCTCGACGGTCACCTGGTACCCCGGTTAGCGGTGAACCGGTGACGCAGCGATCTGGTAACGCGGTTGCCCCGTCCCCCGGTCACCCAGTCGCCGGCCGACCAAGAGACGGCACCCGTATGGGTCAGCCCTGTGGTCAGTCCGAGGCAGCACGCTCGGAAACCGTCGCGAGCAGCGAAATCACTTCAGACCTGGCGTGATGGTGATGATGGCGCAGGCCCGTGAAAATTAGATGTCGTACAGTAGCAGTCCATCGAAGCTGACCACCTCTCCCTTCAACCCTGCATGGTGTCCTGCTGCGTGGCTGATGCTATCCCGCGGGTTGCGTACATTATCGGTACGTTAGCGTCAACCACTCGGGACGGCGCAAAACGAAACGTTGACCAAAACCCTCAGCATTATTTTGGCGGCGAACTGGGCTGAAAATACTTCCATTCCAAACATTTGCGTGACAGTGTCAGTCTGTAAGCACCACAGTGGCCTTCGACAAGTAGACCCTCTGGGCCCAATAACTAAATGCATTGATGAATTGCGATGTGTTATAACAGTTATGACCCTATGAGTTTCATGCGTCAGGAAATCAAAGCACCAAGCTACCTCTTTGGGGGGATTAAATTATACACTTCTGCTAGACTTCGGCGAGGCAATGGGCATCAAACCATCCTGCCATGACAAAAACTGGCTGAACATATAGGGCCCAACCAGCCAGGGGCAGCCAGCCCCCATCACTCACAGGCAATTCATGACCAACGCTAAAAAAAAAACACCATTTCAACATATTTTTCCGGCTCACCCCGTCAGCCTCGGCTGGGTCTCGAGCAACGTCTAGCGTGATCTGACCTAGCTAAGCGTGACCTCTGACATTAAACAAACAGATCCTGCACACACGGAAACCGTCCTGACCGCGCAGATTACGCCGTTAAAGGCCAGCAATCATTACGCCGTTAAAGGTCAGCAATCTGAAGAATCAACAGCAGCCCGACAAGCACGATACCAACATCCGGCTGGAGTCCGGCAGTGACCTGCTACATCTGAGACCAGGGCCGCGCAAGGAAACACGACACTAATCCTCACAGGTAAACACAGGCATCATTCCAAACGATCCGCTCCCGACGTGGCACTTACACATGACGAGCCATTTATCATTAAAATGCAGCCGCTATTAAAAACACATCAATAACCAGCGGACTCAGCACATAAGGCTCGGACCAAACAATGCACAGCACTATGCGGAGTCTTAACAGTGCCCACCCGCCCCACAGAGGACGCTGCTAAAGCGTGCCCGTGGGCCATCGGGCCCACGAGCACGCGCCGTACGACCATGCTCCTCTTGACCTCCCACATCACCAGCGCTCACCCTGAACTCCACCGGCGTGTCCCACACCTCCGACGGCAACTTCTTCATGTAGAAGAAGAAGATCTCGTCGTACCAGGGGTTGCAGGTGGCCTTCTGGACGCGCGTCGATTTGCCGTCGTTTCCCAGCGATACGCGGCAGGTGGGGTTCAGGTCGGAGCCGATCAGACCGCGCCCCTCCACCACCTTCACACGCACCTGTCGAGGGGAGGGGGGAGGGGGGCTGAACAGTCGGCTTCACACACGGTCCTCGGGACAAGGCCATTCGTGGTCACAAAATGGCCACCACGGACGCGATTCTCGCACCACATAACACGTAAACCAAACATGAGCAGCGGGCTACATCTTTAATGGCTGCAAGGAACATCAGACAAACATGACCACATCACCAAACGTTTCATGTTGGTTTCACTTGTGAAGCTACATGTTCACACGCTTCCTTGCGGCGGACACGACTGGCAAGTTTATATTCCAGTACAACATGTATATCCCAATATCCCAGTATACATGCGCATTTTAGTACACAATGGATTACATTAAATTCCGGTACAGGTACGCATATTTCGGCCTTCCAGCCAGAGACTCCAGCTTTTATATACTTGTATCTCAAACGTCATACATGCCCCAGAAAGACACTAATCTGACATGCATATCTTAGCTCACTACAGCCCAACTGCTTCAAACAGCCGCCACGCTGAGTCGAGCCTTCGCACTAGCGTGCGCGTTCGCGTTCGCCTTCGCGTTCGTGCGCGCGCTCGCGTTCGCGTTCGCGCGCGCACCATACCTGGAACTTGGTTTCCTTGTTGGGAAGCAGGTCCCGGTACCTGGGCCCCGCCCCGAGGTGTTCCAACGCGGCGCTGTACTCGGCGCCTTGGCCCATGACAATGTCACCGCTGGATGTCGTCTGGATCGCCTCATAACTCCCCACCGCTGCCGAGCCGAGTCACAAGTTACCAAAGTCGCCAACAAGTGGAGACAGAGTCGGTGATCGCTTTCTGTGCGCTTGTAGTTTCGGGACATTTATTTTCATGTTTTGTTTTGTCAATGATTGCAAATTTCGCATAATCATCCATAAAGGCAACACAAACTCCATGTAGGCAACAAAAACGGGGCTTGTGTGGCGAATTACTTACATGCTACAGCCCATCTTTATGAGTGTGACTACCGGCCAGGTCTTCTACGGCCTGGACTGGGGACTCAAAAAGTAAACCTGATCGCGGCGCGTTGCTAGTTTCAAGACGCTTTAACTGAGGACAAAGCATACGGACACGCATGCTTTGGCACGTATGCACGCATACTCATCCGTAGGCTCCCTCGAAGAAGCTGTTATGTTCAACACCCGATTCTAGACTCCAACCCTTTCAAGATTCTAGCACTGGATTCTCCCACGCCGAATGTCACGACCGGAAACCGGAATTTACCAGCAGCAATCCTTCTCCAGTACATCTACGGAGTTCAAGTACACAGCAAATACGTTGGCGCACGGCAAACACGGCGAAGAATAGAGTTGACACACGGCAAAAAGCTTTGAGCGGCATCGGAACTCCAGGGGCGGTGGTGGCCGCCGCCACACAGGCCGCGCCCGTGTTTGCAGTATCCACAGCCCGGTTCCGGAGGGTGGCTGTTTCACCGTCATGTTTATTGTGACACCCGCAGGTCCCAAGGCAACGCCGGTGACTGGCGGACGGGCCAGAAACGGGCCGCGTCACAGACGTCACACACGTTCCCCCTCGTCACACAGCCATCCCAGCCATACGCGTTCTCACTCGTCAAGACGCCCTTCCTCTCGTCACACGGCCACACCAGCCATAAGGCGTGATCTTTTGCCATGGTGCCCTCCCTCTCGTCACATAGCCATCCCAGCCATAGGCGTGATCTTTTGCCGTGGTGCCCTCCCTCTCGTCACATAGCCATCCCTGCCATAGGCGTGATCGCTGGCCAGGGCGCCCTCCCCCTGGAGTGCAGAGTGGCTTTAGTTTCGCCTTCAGCATGACTCCCGCCAGTAGTCCCCTTGACAATGGTTCGTCGCCTGGCTGCTGTCCTGAACTGACTCTTTTCATCAGCCTCTAGGTTCCCTTCTGGCTGTAAACAAATATTTTAGCATACGTAGCCTCGCGTCGCTACCTCCCATCATCTTCTGTATCTTCCCCACGAGTCCAAGCGCTTCCTTGCCTTCCCCTTCTCCGCGCTCCATAAAACGACTTTTCTACATATTCCTCCAGCGGCCGAACCCACCCCCCCAGCTGGCGCTGTTGGCGTTGCTCGCACCTTCTGCGTGTCCCCGTTCCATTTTCACCTCGAGTTTATCTCCTAGTATCTCGACCATCCCTCCCCGGTCTGTCTCAAACCCCTCATATTGTATCGCATCACATTCCCGCACCATCCCCGCGAATTCCTCCCATCCCGTACCTTCCACCTCACCACCTCACCCTCCACCCTCACCTCTCAACCCCACACCCTCCCACCTTACTCACCCCCTCCCCCTCCCACCCCTCACCTCTCGTGCCACCAGCCACGTTGGTCCCCGACTTGCTGCCGGCTGCGCCGGCGGCTGGGCCAGCCGCCGGCGCCGCCACCTTGGGCGGCGTGTACTCCATGCGCACGCGCAGCATGCCCGTAGTGGGGCGCTGGTCGTGATCCACCAGCTGCAGCTCCAGGTCCTGCGGGCCTTGGCCGCTCATGAGGTTGCGCAGCAGGATCGTAGTCTTGCCCAGCAGTCTGCCGGCCGAGCCGCGGCGGCGGGTCAGGCGAGCGGCAGGTCACGTCAGGGGTCGACAGATCAGGTCAAAAGTAGACAGGTCAGGTCAAAGACCGTGAGGTCAGGTCAGAACTCGACAGGTCGGGTCAGAGGTCGCCATGTCAGGCCAGAGGTGGACAGGTCAGGTCAGAGGTCGACAGGTCAGGTCAGAGGTCGACAGGTCGTGTTGAGGATTCACGCCGCCGTACAGGACCAGGAATGGTGGGATGTCATGTAATGGTAAGAGGCTAGATAATTGTGAGAGGTCATGTAATAGTCAGAGAAATGGCAAGCGGTCAGGTATCCGTGGGAGTAAACGGATGCTGACAGAGCACACTGACACAAGCGGTTGTCCGTGGTCAATGTAATGAAACTGAATGCAGTTAAAACGGAATGTAACATACTATAACGCAATGGTGAAAAGCCAGAGGCGTAGATAGCCTATTGACAAGCACAACAACTTTGTTCACAATTCGCACTTGCAAACACTGCTAGGCCATAGCAACCGCAGCCCTGTGGGCCTGTCGGGTTGAAAATGATGAAAATGAAAATCTGCGGCCAGGCCACGCCGTCTGCTGCCGGTCGGTGTGCCGCGATCGCCGTGGACGACTCACCAAGGGGACGCCAGCTGGGCGCTCAACGCCGATGTTGTTACTAGAAGTACGCGGCGAATAGCGATCGTCAGCCCTCGTTATGCTGGGGAATACTGGTGAACGTATTGTTTCAACTAATATTTAAACATTTATACTAGCATTATATCAAAATGACTTGAATTTTCGATCAGAATGATTTCTGGTAACCGCGTACCTACGGCAATATCATCGACATTACCAACGCACAAACATCACGCAACCCGAACTCGCGCCTACCACCTTGGAAACGTCCGTCACAGCCGACGTGACCTTCCAGCCCCACCCCCGCGGCAGCAGCAGTCGCACCTGTTGCGGCCGATATGGTCGTAGTCCTTCACCAGCATCTCCAGCTTCTCCTCGGCCGACGGCGCCTTGCCGGTGAGCTCCCATTCCAGCTTCTCGTTCCACTCCGGGTTCAGCTCGCCCTTCTTCACCGTCGTCTTCCGCTTGACGCCTGACGCGCGGAAGGGGGTCGGAGGTCAGTGACATGTCCATGGATATGTCCTGGGAGGAACGCGACGTCGAACGGGATCAAGCGTGTGGCGCGCTCTGGGAAACCAGTCATTTCGGGGGCTGCAAAATGACTACGCAATGTACTGCGCACATGTACAAAGTACATTTAACGCCATGCACCATGCACAAAATGCATCACGTCAGTGCATGTACGGGCGCTCCCATGAAGTTCCGATGCAGGTCTGAGGATTCGACACGGACAGACGTTTGAGTTCGGATACTGTCTGATGTCGGGATCTTCAGCCTGCATCGACTTCATCAGGGCCTACAAACTGCGTCCAAGGTAGGTCGGAGGGCTCCACAGCTATTAACAGTGATCTTTGAGCAAAAAGAGCTTCCAGCGATTATCTCTGAAAGGAGACATCAGAATCTCTGATCGAAAAAGAGCGATCAGTAATGATATCTGATCGAAAGAGCTTTCAATCATGATCTCTGAACAACACAAGAGCCACCAGTAATTATCTCTGATCGAAAAGAGCTCTCAGTAATGATTCCCGAACAAAAAACTATCAGTAAAGATATATGGTCAAAAACAGCTGTAAGTAATAATATTTGACCGAAAAGAGCAATCAGCTATGATCAATGGCCGAAAAAGATCTATCAGCAGTGATATGCATCGAAAGAGAGCATCAGTAATGATCCCTGATCGAAAAAGAGCTATCGGCAGCGATCTTTACTCGAAAAACGAGCTCATGGTGCGTTGGCATGCCTTCCTCGTGCGAAAGATCGGTCCTCGCCTCTGGCGACTATGACACCACTCTTCTCGAGCCCCACTCCGTGCTCCATTTGGCCCGGCGCCGGTGACGTATTAACAACAACAAAACACTAGGAACGACGCCACCTAAGCGTGACACTCTGTTGAAGTGTTGTTCGTGTTGGTAGCATGGTTACAGTCAATGCCATCGACGACGATTGATCTCGGTTGCGCTGAAACTTTCAATCTGTCTGCCATGTCGGTGGCATGCCTCGACCAATGCTGCACGAAGAATGCTCGAACAAGCTAAGCCCTTGACATCTCTGGAGGGTTTAGCCATAAACCCTAAACTCTCGACCACTGCAGCAAATGAATCCCTCACGCTGCTAGCGTAGATGCTTCGCGAAAGGGCAACTGCGGCCCGTTGCTTCGCCCCATGCTCCACCCCTGCATTCACATACAGCTCGGCAGACTAGCGCCCGCCAGTGCAGTGCAAAGCCCCCACCCCCCCGCCAGCACAGCCATGGCCCCAGAATCAAAACACAGCTCGCCCCAGCGAGAGCGCCGGGCTATTGTGTTGCCGTCGCATTCCGGCCACGTCGTCAGCTGGCCAGACCGTGGCAGCCGTCCTGCGCGGCGGGCGCGGGATGGGGGCAGGGCCAGGGGCGGTCAGTGACCGGGGGAGGGCCAGGGGCGGTCAATGACCGGGGGCATGGCCAGGGGCGGTTAAGGACCGCGGGGGGCAAGGCCAGGGGCGGTTAGCGACCCGTAGGGAGGGTTAGGGGCAGTCAGTGACAGGGGGAGGGCCAGGGGCCGTCAGGGACCGGGGGGCAGGGCCAGGAGCGGTCGAGGACCGGGAGGGGGGCAAGGTCGGGGGCCGTCAAGGACCGGAGGGGGGGGGGGCAGGGCCGGGAGCGGTTTCAGACTGGGGGGCCCCGGCAATGGCAGCCGTGCAAAGCCATTACATCGGGGCACGCCGTGTTTCGCAGTCAGGGTGTCTCCAATCTTCACGTGTCCCGAATCGGGCAACGTCAGCAAACCAACGCCGTAATCTGTCACGGCCTGAACCGACCTAGCTGACCAGGCAGGAAAAGAGGCCAGGTCATCACGAGATGACTCACGCAGTAACCAACAGTTATACACAATAAGCTCACGGACCCAGATTAATCTAATCCTAGCGCGAGCGACTTTCATTCGCGCAACAGGGGTTGGAAGAAGGATATCTCTTCACTTGGATTCCACTGGAGTGAAAGCGGCGAAAAGCAAAGGTCTTGACGCTTGACGGCACAAATGCATTCCTTTCAAATCCGGATCTGCCGAAAAGCAGGACCTTACGAGACTGTTAAGAGGGAGTTGGAGTTTGCCTGTTTGAAGACGCTCACAGCATTTTCTAACGTGAACATGAACGTAAATCACGCGGGAAAGAGGTTATTTTACACCAACTTCACACGAACACTGGCAATATTACGGCGGCCAATCTTGCTGTCCCACCCTCACACACTCCAGCCGTTCTGCCGGCGTCGAAACTACCCTGACACGCGACACCGAAACCATCCTGACGACGAAACTACCCTGGCACCTGAACCAAAAAATATCCCTGCACTTGACACCGAAACTACCCTGACATCTGACACCGGAACTACCTCGACACCTGACACCGAAACTACCCCGACACCTGACACAAAAGCCACCCTGAAACCTGACACTGAAACTACCCTGAAACCTGACACTGAAACTACCCTGACACCCGACACCGAAACTACCTGAAACCTGGCATTGAAACTACCCTGACACCTGACACCAAAACTACCCTGACACCAAAACTACCTTAACACCTGACACAACCAGCGCATGATCGACACCGGCGCCACTGCCGCCACTCACCTTGGAACACTGTCGTGACATAGGGGTCACTCTTCCCCACGCTCTCGGCGTTGGGGAGGTTGGACGCGCTAAGCACGTGCGCTCGAAGCATGGTGACGTCACTAGTCCGGACTGCAACACACGGATAAATGCGTCACACAGGTCCTGTCGGGGGACCTGCGACAACAGTGTAGAGCCATGGGATCGGGATAAGCTGGGATTGTATGTGGCGACAAAGGGCGTATTCGCAGCGTGCAAAGAATGTCGCATTATTCGTGACGACACGTAGAATCTTTGCCGGTCGTGTTCGCAGCGCGACGCGTTTTCTGTTTACATCTTCGTAACTTTCGTGACAGTGACTGGACATGCGAGATACCAGCATTTACGTTCGCACATGCTCTGCGTGCTCCTAACACTGGAAACTGCAGATTATGCTGTTTGGAACTAATAAAACATTTTCCTATCAGCCGAGATAGGCCCCGTGCGCGCAAGTGGGCTGTTTTTTTTAATTAAATCAGTTGTGCTTGTAGGTGTAACTTCGAGGAAGCAATCTTGATTCCACACGTCGGGCAAATATTCTACGTGACGTCACTTAGAATCTGCCGTCCGGGTCGCCGCGAACACCAAAATGCGCACAATCTATGGGGCATGACGCCATGAATGACGTCGACGGTATAAATCTTAGCCACCTAGGTCGCTGTGAATATACCCAAGATCTCCGCGGATTTCGGTCCGTTTCCAACGTTTGGCAGCGACCCATCGCACTCTACGTCACAATCAACGCTAACGCCTGCATGCGGCGCCGCAGGCTTTTTTCAAAGGACGGCACGATTGCTAAGCCTGCTGATGCGAGCGCAGGTGGGGAGCGTCGACAACAGGTGGCGCGGGAAAGTCGCTAGAAACAAAGCCTTCTCGAAAGTTTTCACAGGAATCGCACAGGTCTGGTCAACCGGCCTGTCGTATGACACCGTCACTTTACTGTCGTATGACACCGTCACCATATGACACCGTCACAATATCCATCATCTATCAACTAAAAATGGTGTCGCCGGTGATACGCCCGGCATGTATCAATCCCACCTGTGTACATGAGCGGCGATGCCACTGGACGTTCACAGACAACGGACAGGGGTCCGATTGGGCCGCGTCAAAAGCAAGGCACCAGTTCAACGCGACCGTGGCGGTCAGGGTGAGATACCAACGGAGGCATCTTAAGTGATCGCAGATAGTTCAAACAGGCGATAAGCGGTTTCGCTTGTCAGGACTTAACGACGCACTCAGCTGCTGAGGCTATACCGCGACGCCTGCTTCTCACTCCGACAGAAGGGGCCGACACCACGTGGAATCGAACCCCGGACCTCTGGTTTCCCAGACGCGCAGCCTAGCCACGTCAATACCGGCACCCCGGTAAGCGGTTTCGTCTCATATGATTTCAACGCGGACACGGCCTTGCGGTATTTACCTGCCACTCTCACAAGACCGATACTTACATGAAAGCTCGGCGCAAGAACTCAGGCGATCCACTGGCATATTGACCTCAAAGCAGTTCACCCCTCTCCCGCCGGTATGATGTTCCCGCGCCCACTAGGCTGGGCGTCGCGGCTTGTCACACCGCGTTTTTGTTGTTATTTGGGCTTAAGGGCGCGCCGACATCCTTGTCACATCACGTGCTGTCGAATATCCCTTTCACTGTATGGAATACCATGAGTGTCACTGTGTCACGTGATAACGTAATGACCCTATTCTGTACCACGTGGTAACCATGCCGGTTCCGCCGCAGTGTGTGTTGACGTCACGGGTTCCGCAGCACCGCGCGATGACGTCACAGGTCCCAATGCACCGTGTGATGACGTCACAGGTCCCACTGCACCGTGCGATGACGTCATAGACCCCGCTGCACCGTGCGATGACGTCACAGGTCCCACTGCACCGTGTGATGACGTCATAGGCCCCGCTGCACCGTGCGATGACGTCACAGGTCCCACTGCACCGTGTGATGACGTCATAGGCCCCGCTGCACCGTGTGATGACGCCATAGGTCCCGCTGCACGGGCAGCGGCCGGTCACGAGCCGGCGCGCCGGGAAGCATTGTCTGCCGCCCACCGCGTGCCGCCGCCGCCCCCGCCGCCGCGTCCGCGCGGGGTGTGCAAGACCATGGCCCCGCGAGTCCGCACCAGCCCGCCGGTGGAGGTGCAAACTCCGGGCCACCCGGCCCACACACTAAACAACTGATGGTAGCAGTGTTCTGACTGACGGTAGCAGTGTCCTGACCGACGGTACCAGTGTGCTGATCGACGGCAGCAGTGTCCTGGCCGACGGCAGCAGTGTGCTGATCGACGGCAGCAGTGTCCTGGCCGACGGCAGCAGTGTGCTGATCGACGACAGCAGTGTCCTGGACGACGGCAGCATTGTCCTGACCGACGGTAGCAGTGTTCTGGCCGATGGTAGCAGTGTCCTGACTGACAGTAGCAGTGCCTTGACCGACGGCACGTAGCGAGGGTAGCAGCAGATAAGGCCAGGTCGCTTATGTCAGCTTTCTGACGGAGCTAATAACTTAGAATGGAAGGTTTTATCAGCTTTTCAAGCGCTAGGGCCATTACTGTAATTAAGACGGGGGGTGGGGTAAGGTACCAAAATTACATCTGTCACATACCGCCATGCTTGCGCAAGTCACATGCCGTCAAGTCACATTTGTCACATGACGTCAAATTTGTCACCTACCCAAAGTCACATCTGTCACACACCGACAAGTCACAGCGGTTACATAGCGACAAGTCACAGCGGTTACATACCAAAAAGTTACAGCGGTCACATACCGATCAGTCACAGCGGTTACATACCGACAAGTCACAGCGGTCACATACCGTCAAGTCACAGCGATTACATGCCAACAAGTCACATCTGTCACATATCGACAGCGGTTACATACCGACAAGTCACATCCGTCACATACCGACAAGTCACAGCGGTTACACACCGACAAGTCACATCTGTAACATACCGACAAGTCACAGCGGTTACATACCGACAAGTCATAGCGGTTACACACCGACAAGTCACAGCGGTTACATACCGACAAGTCACAGCGGTTACATACCGACAAGTCACAACGGTTACACACCGACAAGTCACAACGGTTACATACCGACAAGTCACAGCGGTCACATACCGACAAGTCACAGCGGTTACATACCGACAAGTCACAGCGGTTACATACCGACAAGTCAGATCTGACAAACTCCGTCAAGAGCAGCCCCAGTGGAAGCCGGCAACCCGCGCCCTCGCCTCAATACTGGTTGCTTTCTTGCAAGCGTTCATTGTGAGACAGAGTTAAAAAAGTAAAACGCGTCAGAAATTGAACAGCTGGTGGACCAAATTTTGTGTGGACAACATTGCATCATTGCGAAGGGAATTATTCGTGTCAAAGTGTCACGAATGTCACCTGTCCATGGCCAACTCTATGACTCGAGTGAGTGATCTGAAACTCAACAAATAGCGTGGAAGTGTCTGAAAAATAAATACATGGGAAGCTTATCAAGAATTTTTCGCGCGGACAAGTTGCTACGAACAGTTATGACCTATGAGCGTGAGCGGTATGACCAGTTATACCGCGGAGTATAATGGATCCAGCGTTTGCGCTACTGCAAAGCTCACTTCAGATACTAAATCAGATACTATTCCAGCACCAGGGAACATAACTCATACAATGCCTTCCTGCATCAGGAAATAGCACAAAATGTGACAGGAAAAGTCCCGTAATCTGGGTTTTTATCTGCAAGGAAATTACAGCTGCCAGCTGGCTCTCCTGCCCCCTCAATACTATGCCCCCGCGCAAACGATGGATAACAAGCATACAAATAAGCAAACTTAAACGATCACTGTGATCAAAGTATCTCATGTCGTTAAAAAGTGTACCGGATATTTGTGCGCACTGAAAGCAGCGCATGATGAAGCCATGGGCTATTTTCCAGCGGAAATGGTAAATTGACCACGAACCCAACGATTTAAGGCGAATCCTAACCATCGACGCACTATTAAAAACCAGACAACACGATTTCACAACTTGGGGCGCACTGACGGAGCCGTCAGCGTCAGTAAGGCATACGAGGACGGGCTTCAGGAAAATAAGGGGGTCATACACAGCTCCTTGCCGCCCCGCCCGACAGAGGAAACAAGCCATCAACAGACAAACTTGCGGTCAATCACAAGACGCAAGGGACACTGCATCAAGTCTGCAAGGGACACTGCATCAAGTCTCCTTGCATAAGACATCACGTCACCCTGCACCCATTCGGCTCTAAAAATATACCAGCTTCAGAGAAAAACCGTTATACATACACACAAGCCCACCCTTTTGCTGTTTTCAACGTTACATACCAGGCAAACATCACCGAATAAACATTTACAGTCTTAACTCCACTCCGCCAATGACCGCGTTTGCTCGACGCCCAACCAGCTCCAATGACCACTCAATGCGAGCCAGGTCCCACCAACGCCCCTTCCAACGCCCCACCAAACTTCCGGTCCGGTCCCGCCAGCGACCACCGCAGCGCCAGCTCCGTATCAGCGTTAATCGCGCCGTCCCGTTCGCGCCTTCCGGCTGCGTCGTCTGCAGGTCAAGGTCAAACACACATACACACACACACACACCCTCCGGGACGGCGTGAAGCTAACGGCAGACGCTGACATCAAACCAACACCGGTCTGGCCACAGTCACCCCCACAGCGGCGGTGACGCCGGCAGAGGGGAGGAGGAGGAGTGTCGGACTCACGGGGGTCTGCGGCGGTGTCATGCGACAGGCTAGCTGACCGGGGTCTGTGACGGTGCCATACGACAGGCTAGCTGATCGGGCTCTGTGACGGTGTCATACGACAAGTTAGCTGATCGGGCCCTGTGACGGTGTCATACGACAAGCTAGCTGATCGGGCTCTGTGACGGTGTCATACGACAAGCTAGCTGATCGGGCTCTGTGACGGCGTCATACGACAAGCTAGCTGATCGGGCTCTGCGACGGTGTCATAAGACAGGCTAGCTAATTGGGCTCTGTGACGGCGTCATACGACAAGCTAGCTGATCGGGGTCTGTGACGGTGTCATAAGACAGGCTAGCCGATCGGGGTCTGTGACGGTGTCATACGACAAGCTAGCTGATCGGGGTCTGTGACGGTGTCATACGACAGACTAGCTGGCCGGTGTCTGTGGCGGTGTCATACGACAGACTAGCTGACCGGGGTCTGTGACGGTGTCATACGACAGACTAGCTGATCGGGGTCTGTGACGGTGTCATAAGACAGGCTAGCTGACCCCGGTCTGTGACGGTGTCATACGACAAGCTAGCTGACCGGTGTCTGTGACGGTGTCATACGACAGACTAGCTGGCCGGTGTCTGTGACGGTATCATACGACAGACTAGCTGACCGGTGTCTGTGACGGTGTCATACGACAGACTAGCTGACCGGGGTCTGTGACGGTGTCATACGACAGAATAGCTGATCGGGGTCTGTGACGGTGTCATAAGACAGGCTAGCTGACCGGGGTCTGTGACGGTGTCATACGACAGACTAGCTGACCGGTGTCTGTGACGGTGTCATACGACAGACTAGCTGACCGGGGTCTGTGACGGTGTCATACGGCAGACTAGCTGACCGGTGTCTGTGACGGTGTCATACGACAAGCTAGCTGACCGGGGTCTGTGACGGTGTCATACGGCAGACTAGCTGGCCGGTGTGTGACGGTGTCATACGACAGACTAGCTGGCCGGTGTCTGTGACGGTGTCATACGACAGACTAGCTGACCGAGGTCCCCGACAGCGTCATACAAAAGTGCGGAGTACCGGGCTTGGGAGCTGAAACCGGACCTATGCCGGTGCCGGAATGACGGCAGCTTATCACAAGACCCGAAGTTGTCTTGGTAGCGTGCCGTGGGCCTGGCGAGAAGATCGCACGCCTCGACTGGCGAGATCGTCAAAGGCACTCGTCAAAAGCATGACGGGCGTAAGATGTGACCTGCGACTGAAACGCCTGACATTCAGGCCTTCAGGCTACACGCCGGCGAGGAACGCCTCGATATGTCCGCTGACGTCACCTGATTGTATACTTCCAACGCGGCGTGACGGTTGTTAACCTCATGTGTTTACAAGTTACCACGCCCGCAAATGCTTCCGTCCACATTTCTTGGGGCCGCCATGACGAAAGCCCAGAGAGCTATCTTGGCCCTATCGCCGCGGCCAGTCACAGTGTGTGCGAGCGATAAGGAAAGCCGTCGTGAAGCGGACCAGCTACCAGTGGAGGAAAGCGGTCTTCGTCCGGAAAACTGTCTACCCGGACCCTTGCTCGTGGAGGACAACGCACGCAATGGTGTGTGCGCCAATATGTCGTCTTGGGACGACAATGATGGTGTTCTATTCGAATTCCATCGGTTCGATTTCACTGATGTTCTCGACTGCACGCATAATCTAAGTGCGTCCCACCGTATTTTCCGCGATTGGACCTTGTCAACAGACGAAGGTAAGGAGCACCTCATGTGGTGTTTATCGCCTCACGGTCATTTTTTAAGTTAATTAAGTAAAATTAAGCCAAGTCTAAGTCCTCACCTGCGCGGGAGTATCAAGCCGGGCCACCGGGGGTCAGGGGTCACGTGGCCGGCGTGACGTCACCACGTACCGGCGCCCGCCGCCGTCTGCAGACCGGAGGCAAGCGTCAAGGGCGAGGGCAAGACACCTGTCCCGGTCCCCACCACTTGGCTATTAGGAATTCCGATGGCGTATGGCGGGCTGGTCCCGGCCCGCGCTGTCACAACATATATCGATGAAATCAAACACGCATCTCCGTGTGTTAGAGAGACGCGACGTCAAGCGATGCGGTGCGATGATGATGTGGAAGACGGCCCGCCACGCCCCCATCTCCCGGCTCATGAGGCTCATTTGCCACGTTTGGAGTACGTGGACGCTGTCTCACATGCGTCAGTCCTCCGCTTGATACGCCATGAGGCAGTGTTCAGTTGCGACACTTGGAACCGATGACTATCGAGAAACAAGCAGCGTTTATTCACGTCTGAGCGAGTCTGATTCCCACAACCAGCGTATCGGTTCGCGCAAACGTCGACGTTGAGAAGAAGCGTACTTCCTCAGAGCGACTCGTGGTATCCGATTATTTCCTGGCCGCGACCGGGCGCTGACCAGTCCTTACAGGACGAAACCGGCATGAACTGCCTTCAACACAGTTAGAACAACTTTCCTACTCGAGAGATCCATATACCATCTACCACGGCGTTGGCATTCCCATAAAAGTGGAAAGAGAACTTCACATAATGCCGGTACGCGAGACCAGTTCGAAGTCAGCTTTCTCTCCCCACACCACCCGGCTAAAGTCAGCCCGGAGACGGGAGCATCCCTTCGTCTGCTGCGATGACAAACCTAGATGTCTTAATGCCTTGATAAGTGCCGTAAGTTTATGTGCAGACCTCGTAATTAAAAGTTGCATTTCTTTTGTGAGGTATCGCAGCGCAGGGAAGTCCAAAACAGAAGCAAACATCAGCTGCAGCCACGAGAGTTCGTCGTAACGGATATATGTCGTCAATGGTAGCAAATGTGCACACCAGCGGACGCATCACAACTATCATAAATCACTTATAAGCGGCATGCCGTTGCTAAACTGGATTTGCTGTCGATCGTTGTCATTCCAAACTGTTTGACTGCATCGAACAGGGACGGTAGCTTACATCGACGTAGCCTGTCGTAACTGTCCTGCTCTCGCAGCTCTCGTGGTCCTCGAAGCGACTTCCGTTGACACAAATGTGATGCCATTGTTTTCTATTCACAAAATAAACAGTCCAATATTGGAAATGATATCATGTGTGTCGCTGCAAAGAAAATACATGTCCAAGACGACAGTTGGCTTTTCAGGTCCTGAAGTGAGCTTTCGGGGTGTTTTTTAACTCTTCTCGTGCTCTTATTTGCTCGGATCTGGACGTTTGCTCCCTGCAGGCTCAGAAGCATCTACATGCATGTCACGCAATTATGTGGTCGGCGAATTGTACAGCAACAGCATTGTACAGCAGGCACCTTCTGCCTGCTTCAGTCCTGACGCAAAGAATAGCCAGACCTGCGTCTTGACGAGTGTGTGAGTGACGTGAGTGAGTGTGAGTGTGAGAGTGTGTTAGTGACGTGAGTGAGTGAGTGAGAGTGTGTGAGTGACGTGAGTGTGAGTGTAAGAGTGTGTTAGTGACGTGAGTGAGTGAGTGACAGTGTGTGAGTGACGTGAGTGAGTGTGAGTGTGTGAGTGTGTGAGTGACGAGAGTGACGTACGAGGAGTTCCGAGCCAGCATGAAGTGGAGAGGCGCGCGCCCGGACTTCGCCGGCGCCGCGACCTTAGCAGATCAAGCAGACGACGCAGCGGTTGCTTACACGCTGTCGATAGCTTCTGCTAAAGTAAGCAGAGCCCGAGCCGAATTACCAGGGATGACTGAGTCCGCCTCTCACGGACACCGAACCGTGTCCGGTCAGGTTTTTTTTTAGTAGAAGTTTTGGAACGAGTGCCGCTGCGACCTCCCACCTCGAGCACACTTAACACGTATTCACCGTGAATGGTGCGTGCAGAAAAGACGCGAATGCGCACTTGTATGAGTGTGTGGTGTGCGTCTTTGTGGTCTGGAATCATGTGTGTGTGAGAGAGAATACGCGTATATCTGCTTGAGTTGTGTGCTTGGGCTGTGTAACCGTGTTTGGCGACCAATGCAATAGATGCATTACGAAGAGCCGAAAACGGATGGAACGTTAAACAGCCATATCCACATTCTCCAATCAGCCGGGACATAACCTTGAGGGGGACATAACCTTCAGGAAAAGCTAGTGCATGAGTGACAGTGGCGATACGAATGATGTGCCAAGGCGCTGGAGCCAGTACCTTTTCAAAGGAGACGACATGCCGTATTATTCACGTACAACAGCCCCGACATACCTATCCCGTCTGAAAACTCGTCACCACGTGCCTTTCCGTCTGACTGCTCGTTCCCATGTGCCTCCCCGTATGATGACTTGTCATCACGTGTCTCCCGTCTGATGACTCGTCCCCACGTGTCTCCCGTCTGATGACTCGTCCCCACGTGTCTCCCGTCTGATGACTCGTCCCCACGTGTCTCCCGTCTGATGACTCGTCCCCACGTGTCTCCCGTCTGATGACTCGTCATCCCGTGTCTCCCGTCTGATGACTCGTCATCCCGTGTCTCCCGTCTGATGACTCGTCATCACGTGTCTCCCGTCTGATGACTCGTCATCACGTGTCTCCCGTCTGATAACTCGTCCCCGCATGTTCCGCGTGTCTCCCGTCTGATTACTCGTTCCCGCGTGTCTCCCGTCTGATGAATCGTTATCACGTGTCTCCCGTCTGATGACTCGTCCCCACGTATCTCCCGTCTGATGACTCGTCGCCACGTGCATGCCAGCCTGGTGACCCGTCAGCGTGTGTTCCCGGCCACCTCGTCTCACCACGTGCCGCAACCACCGGGCGATCCGGTGACGCCCGCCGGCCTCACTGGGCCCAGCCCCGGCCCGCCCCCGCGCCGATGATGTCATCACACGTCAGAGCGCAGGGGGCGTGGGCGTGGGCGGGGACGGGGGGGGGGGGGGGGGGGCGGGGCCCGGTAGCGGGCCATGACACGCCGCAGCCGACACCAGGGTCTCAGGCAGCGCCGCTGTCCGGCACCGCCTGGCGCCCCAACACGAGCCGCCACCGACCGGGCACGCCACCAGAGGAAAACTGGAGGCACGTGTGACGTCACCACACAGGTTGAGCGGTGCTCAGCTGTTGCGCATCAGGGCAGCTGTGACCGGAGTGACATGCGAGAAGAACTGCGAACTATCATCTTAGTGAATGATGGATTGCGGAGCTCCGTGGATAACGGTGAAGGGCGGATGCGGCCTGGCCTTCGGGCGGATGCGGCCTTCGCAACTTAAACTAAACCCGATAGTACTCAAGGGATGTTCGCAAGGTTTTTTGACACGAAATGCTACGGAAACAGCACGCGTACAGCTAACTGATGTAGCCTGCATACCAAGCACACCGCACTAGTCTGTTCCCAAAACAGCGGCGTTCCTTTCGCGTGGCGGGGGCGCAAACAGACCCTGGACCACGAAAAGGACGCAAACATGAAAAACGACATTGTTTAACTGCTGGCCGAACGTCCCAGCTGAACGCAACCGCACACAGCGTGTTCTCACGAAGCACGACACCGAACGGACAAACAATGGGACCTTTCAAACAACGCCGCTACGTAAGAGCACCGCACGCGCAACCGATTCTGAAATCGCAAACACCAGTAAGCGATTCGCAATGTTAGCGAGGACCAGCGACGCTGAATAACGCCCCGGCATCATTGCTCCCGCCCGACCCAACGCTCACCCTGCTGACGTCCAACCACGCGCAGCAGTCACCTCTGCACACACCAAAACATCGGTCACGTGTCTCATGGCATCTGCGCGGCTCTTCAGCTGACGTTAAGTACAGCTTATGACCGCATAGTGTATGCACAAAGTAAACATGTCCATTCAGCAACTGGCCGATCACTCACCAAGCCCACGCAAAAGCCCACGGTCACAAAACCGTCCACCGACGGTTCACGACAGTGTCCATAAACACTGCCATCGGCGGCATGTCCCCACCGCCCGATGCGCCGCTCACCAAGGCCCCCCCCCCCCCTCCCTCCCTCCCTCACACGTCATGCGACCTCCTCTGGTGGCGCTGGTCGGGGCCCGTGCAGCCGTCAGCCGCAGAGCGGTGGCCATGCATCGGCCATGACCGCAGACGTCAATGAATGGCCCACCGGAAGCCGGTAACGCAGGCGTGGGCCGAGGCGCCGCATAGACTGGCCGGGCGACAGCTCCAGACTGGGTGGGCGACAGTGCCAGACTGGGTGGGCGACAGCTCCAAACCGGGCGGGCGACAGCTCCAGACTGGGTGGGTGACAGTGCCGGACTGGATGGGCGACAGTGCCAGACTGGGTGGGTGACTGTGCCAGACTGGATGGGCGAAAGTGTCAGGCTGTGCGGGTAACAGTGCCAGACTGGGTGGGCGACAGCTCCAGACTGGGTGGGCAATAGCATCAGACTGGGCGGGCGACAACATCAGACTGGGCGGGCGACAACACCAGACTGGGTGGGCGACTGCATCAGACCGGATGGGCCCCTGTATCCTCTTCCGTGGCAGCGCCCTCTCAGGCCTCAGCTCGACCAAGGCGCCGTATTCCACCCGCAAAGAGATACACAAGACGGTGAAGTCATCTCGACGTCTGCAACGGTGTGAGTGTGAAGGACACTTTATAACCTCTTCCAATGGTTATAAAGTGTATAACCTATATAACCTCGGGCGGGTTTTTCATCAGCCTTGCATCAGGATCGGTGATGAGATAAAATTGAGCAACAATACGGGACTCGGACACATCATGCGGGGGGACACACTCCCGGACGCCTGCCGGGACTGTGTCCTGCCTGGCCGACTGCAACACTGCTGCAATTCAAATGTCCACATCGCTCAAACCAAACCCTGAAGTACAACGAAGATACGGATCCAGAGGTAACGAACGGGCCGCCATCCTTCGGAAGCAGCAAGCATTTTGAAAACGGAGCAGTAAGGCAAGGAAGCAACTAGAAATAATTATGAAGCAAAGGATGACCATCCTTCTTA